GCTAACCAATTGAGATTTTCTTAATTGCTTAAAATTAAAAAAATCAAAAAAATTAGTATGAGATATTGATCATAAGATTTCTTACTAAAAATCTCATTTTACTTATATAAATAGAAATATAAGATTCGCTTTATGTATATGAAACAATTCACTTTTTTTCTTTTTTTGTTGATGTGTGATTATAAAATAAAAGTTAATGAAATCTAACCAATGGAGATTTTCTTAATTGTTCAAAAATTAACAATTGTTTTGGCAAGAAGTTTATTTTGAATCAAGCAATCTGAGCAGCTTAATCTTTAATTAGATCAATTTTTAATTTATTTTGAATCAAACAAATTTAACTAATATATTTTGATAAAATCGCTAAAATCGCAGTTAAATCAGCAAATCAGGTAAACCGAAAATGGTTTACCTTATCGGCTAAGTCAAATGACCAACCAACTTATACAAAAATTAATTAATTAAAACTTTTAAATTTTATTTTAATTTTAAAATTTAAACTGTCTTGAACTGAAACATACGCAACACTACAATATTAAATAGGAGTATTAGGTTTATATAGTAAAACAATTCATTTTTTCCTCATTTTTCTAATATGAGATTTTAAAATAAAAGTTAATCGTTATTTGGACGGAAAGTTCATTTCTAATCAAGCAATCTCAATCGTTTAATTTTTAATAAGGTCAATTTTAATTTATTTCAAATCAAACAAATCTAAGCAATATATTTTGATAAAAAAGCTAAAATTGTAGTTAAACTAGTGAATCAGTCAATCTGAAAATGATTCAGCCTAATCGACTAAGTCAAAAGATCAACCAATTTATAACAAAATTAATTAATTAAAACCTTTAAATTTTATTTTAAAATTAAAATTTGAACTGAAATATGCACAATACTATAATATTAAATGAGAGTATAAAATTTACTTTATATAAGTGAAACAACTCACTTTTTCTTTCTTTTCTCTATATGAGATTACAATTATTTTGAAGTTAAATATTATGAGAGTTTCAAAATCTCATACAAAATTATTTTTAAAATCAAAACGTCTATGTGGGATTGTAAATATAAAAGTTAAATGAAAGCTAATCAATGGAGATTTTCTTAATTATTTCAAATAAAAAAATAAAAAATAAAAAATAAAAAAATTGGTATTGATTATATGACTTCTCAATAAAAATCTTTTTTTGCTTATATAAATGGAAGTATAAAATTCACTTTATACAAGTGAATCAATTCACTTTTTTTTTCTTTTTTTTTTTTTCAATGTGGGATTGTAAACTAAAAGTTAAATGGAAGCTAACCAATGGGGATTTTCTTAATTATTTAAAATTAAGAAAATTCAATAATTTATATAAATTGTAGCATAAGATTCACTTTATGTAAATGAAACAATTCACTTTTTTTTTTTCTTTTTTTTCCCAATTTGGAATTGTAAAATAAAAAGTAAATGGAAGCTAACTAATGAAAATTTTCTTAATTGTTTAAAATTAAGAAAATTTAATAATTTTAGAATGAGGGTTTGAAACTTTTAGAAGGTTTTTCTCTTAAAATCCTTTTATAAGATTCAATTTATATAAGTGAAATAACTCACTTTTTCTTTCTTTTTCTGATGTGGGATTGTAACACTTTATCTAAGTGAAACAACTCACTTTTTTTTTTTTTCTCGATGCGAGATTATAATTATTTTAAAGTTAAATATTATGAGAGTTTCAAAATCTTATAAAAAATTATTTTTAAAATCAAAACGTATATGTGGAATTGTGAAATAAAAGTTAAATAAAAGTTAGCTAATGAGGATTTTCTTAATTGTTTAAAATTAAGAAAATCAAAAAAATAAGTATGAGATATTTGATCATAGGGCTTCTCACTAAAAGTTTCCTTTTGTTTATATAAATGGGAGCATAAGATTCAGTTTATGTAAATGAAACAATTCACCTTTTTTTTTTTTCTTTTCTTCTGATGTGGGATTGTAAAATAAAAGGTAAATGAAGTTAGCCAACGAGAATTTTCTTAATTATTTAAAATTAAGAAAATTCAATAATTTTAGAATAAGGGTCTGGAGCTTCTAGAACATTTCTCTCAAAAAACTCCATTTTCCTTACATAGATAATAGATAGTGAAACAACCTTTGTTTTTTTTTCTTCTCCCAATGTAGGATTATAAAATAAATCATAAACTAATTAGAGTTTTATTTTTATATGGTTAAATAGAAGTTAGCCAATGAAATTTTTTTTAATTGTTTAAAATTAATATAAGAAATCATGATTAAACCGGCAAATCGATCAAACCGAAAATGGTTCAGCTTAATTGGTTAGGTCAAATGACCAACCAACTTATACAAAATTAATTAATTAAAACTTTTAAATGTTATTTTAATTTTTAAATTTAAACTATCTTGAATTGAAGTAAACACAATATTACACTATTAAGATTCACTTTATATAAGTGAAACAACTCATTTTTTTTTTTGTCTTTTTCCGATGTGAGATTATAAAATAAAAGTTAACAATTATTTAAATGGAAAGTTTATTTTTAATTAAGCAATCTCAGTCTTTCAATTTTTAATCAGATCAATCTTTAGTTTATTTCGAATCAAACAAATCTAATTAATATATTTTGATAAAATTGCTAAAATCACGGTTAAACTAACAAATTAATCAAATCAAAAATGATTTAGCCGAATTGGCTAGGTCATAATTAATTAATTAAATTTTTTAAAATTTAAACTATATTGAATTGAAACATGCACAACACTACAATATATTAAATGGGATGAGAGTATAAGATTCACTTTATATGACTAAAATAACTCATTTTTTTTCTTTCTTTTCCCGATGTGAGATTATCAAATAAAAGCTAACCAATAGAGATTTTCTTAATTGTTTAAAATTAAGAAAATCAAGAAAATTAGTATGAGATATTGAAACTCTCACAAGGTTCCTCACTAAATGAGATGAGTGTATAAAATTCCCTTTATATGAGTAAAACAACTCATTTTTTTCCCTTCTTTTCCCGATGTGGGATTATCAAATAAAAGTTTACCAATGGAGATTTTTTTAATTGTTTAAAATTAAGAAAATTAAGAAAATTAGTATGAGATATTGAAATTCTCACAAGACTCCTCACTAAAAATATCCTTTTCCTTATATAATATATAGATAGATAGATAGATAAATAGATAGATAGATAGATAGATAAATAGATAGATAGGTAGATAGGTAGATTTCAAAAGAAATAGGTTAGGAATCTCAAATAATTTATTAAATTTTTTATCAAACATCTCATATGGATATGTGATCTATATATATGTAAGTTTGTGTGAATCTCACATTCATATAAAAAATTTGATAAAATATTTAGTAAATTATTTAAGATTGATAGTATTTTCCATTTCAAAATTCTCTTTTGTCTACACTCTCTCTTTTAAAAAAAGAATAATGTGGTGAGAGTAGAGTCTCTCCACTCTCTCTCTCTCACTCTTTCTTTTGAGTATTTTTTTTTTCCAAAGATTTATTATATAAATGTGTATTATTGAATAAATCTAAAATTGAATCTATATTTATTACTATTTTATATTTACATGAATTATTACATTGAAAAACTAATTAGATTTCTATTCATATATTGACTTTAAATTTTTAGTAACAAATTAAATAAATTATATTTTAATCCAATAATTTTATATTTAATTATATTTTGATCTCATTATTATTTACACTGTGCCTTTAAGTATGGACATACATTAGTGTATATGAAAAATTATTAGGTGGTATTAGAGATTCTTTTGATATTGTTTATGTGGTACTCTTAACAAATAAAGAATTCCAAAACATATCAAGTAGATTATTCTTTTCTCTTAACTAACAAAGATGGGTCAAAATTGTCCCACCCATAAAGTTTATGATATGTTACTAACTGTTGACCCATACAATGCACATTATAAAATATAAGTATATATTTTGAAAATCATACTTTTATATATTTTATTCGAATTATGTTTGTGTATATCAATATGTATCTACCTATGAATTTATTATAAAAAGTAGGGTCATTCTACAATACAAATTTTTCTTTTCCATGTACCATATACAATTTATGATATTTGTGTAGTGATAACTAAAAAAACTCAATAAGTCATAACTTATGAAGCACGGATACTCCAAAAATGGTGTTGTACGAGTACCGGGTCCTTACCAGGTGCGGGTATGCGTACCGGGTATGCCGGATACATGTCGGGTACGGTAAATACATTTGGATACGTCGTGGGTACGGCACCGGTACAGCGAGGTGAATTTTTTTTTTTTTTGGCGGCTGATTGAATTTGTTGCAACATTTATTTCCAACACCTTGCTCTCTTTTACATCCTGTTTTAGACAATCAAAAAAGAAAAATAAATAATTATATAAATTTTTAAACAAACTGTTCTCTTTTTAGTTTTGATATTGAAACTTTGATTTGTATGTTGGATGTTTAGCTATAAATTTAAAAAAAAAAATTTAAAAATTTGACATACCATAGCCATACCCGTATCCATACCCTACTTTTTAAAAAATTTGCCGTATCGGCGTACCCGTAACTATATTTGTACCTACACCCATGCTTCATAGGTCATAACTAAATACCACTTGAGGAATTACCAAAGACATTTTGTGTCATAACCAAAACAATAATCACAACTAACATTACAATGAGTCATAATCAAAATTATTTGAGTTTTTATTTGTGAGTTTTGATTTAATTTTAATTTATTTGAGTTAGTTCATGTCGAAATATGATGTGAGAAGTATAAATAATTAATTGTATTTTTTTATAAATATTTTTATAGAGAAAATTAGAGTAGGACTTTTTTTGATAAATAAAGTGCACTCTATTGGACTGGCTTGCAACTTCTCATTTATTTATTTATTTTATCAGCAAGCATGCAGATAGTTATTACTGCCAATAGTACAATATTATTTATTTATGTTTTTTTAAAGTATTGCTTTGTTTGTTATCAGACTTGGCTATGGCTGTCAGTGATTGTCTGATTTTCATTGGAAAAACTGTTGTTGGATTATTGGTGGAGCCAGTTAGGCGTCAATTCGATTATGTCTTCAATCGAGTGAAATACATTGAAAATCTACAAGAGCAAGTTCAAAATTTAGAGGCTCAAAGAATAGATGTGCTCAACTCCATGGATGCAGCAAAAAGGAACAGAGAAGAAATTCTAGCAAGTGTTGAGAATTGGATTGGCAAAGTTAATGGGTTCATTCTTGAGGCTAAAGAGTTTCTTGAAGGTGGTAACAATGTGAACCAGAATTGTTTCAATGGGTGGTTTCCTGATTTGGTCACACAACGCCGGCTAGGTAAGGCAGCAAAAAATAAAGCAGAGGAGGCTAAAGAGCTGGGCAAAGAAGGCACATTCAATAACAACATATCCAAACCTGCCCCTCCCTTGGGGATAGAGTCCATACCCTCTGAACAGCTCGTGCCTTATGCTTCTACAAATTTGACAATGACCAATGTAATGGAGGCACTAACTGACAACGAGATCAACTTCATTGGAATACATGGTATTGGGGGCGTTGGAAAGACAACTTTGGTAATAGAAATCGGCAAAAAAGCAAAATCTAAGAAGCTTTTTGATGAAGTTGTGATGGCTGTAGTGTCTCAGAACCAAGACATTAAAAACATTCAAAGTCAAATAGCTAGCATGTTGGGTTTCACCAGATTAACTGATCAACAAAGTGTAATTCAAAGAGCAAGCATGTTGTATGCAAGACTTAGGGATGTGAAGAAGATCCTTGTTATATTGGACGATGTTTGGGAAGAACTTGATTTGGCAGTCGTGGGCATTCCATTTGGCAATGATCACCAGGGTTGCAAAATCATAATTACAACACAGCGTGAGCAAGTATGCGATTCCATGGGAAAGGAAACGCCGAGGACAAAGATTGTTCATCTTGGTGTTTTATCTGAAAAAGATTCATGGGACTTGTTCAAAAAGAATGCTGGCGATGTCGTTGACTCTAACGCAGTGAATGCTATCGCTAATGAGGTTTGTAAAGAATGTGGAGGTCTGCCTATAGCACTTGTTACAGTTGGAAGAGCAATGAAACGTAATAAAGATAAACCTGATTTATGGAACGAAGCAGCTCGAGAATTGAGAAAATCAATACCAACATATATTGAAGGTGTTGATGAACGAGTATACAAATGTCTTAGGTTGAGCTATGATTACCTGCAAGATGAGGAAGCCAAGGCTTGCTTCTTGCTTTGTTCTCTATTTCCTGAGGATCATAACATCTTAATAGAAGATTTGGTACGATATGGGATGGGGTTGAGGGTATTCAAAAGAGTTGATACAGTGCATGAAGCCAGGGGCAGAGCAAAGTCAATGATTGAAAATCTCATAGCTTCATGTCTCTTATTAGCTAGTGATAAACGAGATTGCATCAAAATGCATGATGTTGTACGTGATGTTGCCATAGATATTGGATCCGAAAAGTATTTTGTAAGAGCTGGTTGCAATTTGAATTATTGGCCAAAGATCGATAGTTTGGATCAATACACTGGCGTATCATTGATGAGAAATCAAATTAGTAACCTTCCTGAGGTCTTGGAATGTCCAAAGCTCCAAATATTACTATTACAAGACAATAAAAATGCAAGGTCATGTTCACATGAATTCTTTTCAAAGATGACGGAACTTAGTGTTTTAGATTGGAGCCAACGAGATCGGAGCCGCTCTGACCCTCGTCTTCACAATTCAATTCGTAGTGCTGATGCTTTCAATAACCAAATGTGTCTTCGAACGTTAGTTCTTGAAGGAATAGAGTTTGGGGACACTAAATTTCTTGGACAATTAAAGACACTTGAAGTTCTTAGCCTCAGGCATGCCTTCTTTTCTGAGGTACCAAATGCTATAAGGGAGTTAACTAATCTAATGTTGTTGGACATGACTCAAAGCCGTCATGAATTTCTGATTCCGGCCACAATACTATCGCCCTTATCCCATTTGGAGGAGTTGTACTTGTTTGGCACCGAATATTCAAGGGGGATCGGAGACCCTACAGTAGAAGTAGCTGCTGCACTAAGATCTTGGCCTCGCCTAAAAGTGCTAACCATTTCCATACCTGACATTGCATATATACCCAAGGACTTTGTTTTTCCTGAGCTGGAAATTTTTATTATTTTTATTGGACAATCGAGTTATGGGTGTATGGTTGAAAATTATTCCCCAAATTATTTGGACGTGGTTGGATCCATGGTTAATGGGAGTAAATGGCTAAAGATGGGGTTGAAGAGAGCTACATATCTGGGGATTGAAGATTGTTCTGAATTCGAATACTTGATCAACACAGAAGAATGGGGGATTTCATCACAGGCACAACCACGTGATCTGCAATTGCTCTTCAACCTGGAAGAATTGGTACTCGGGGCTTTGGATAGTTTCAAAGGGATATGTGAAGCAAGTGCACTTGCAACTTCCAGTTGGGTGTGCTTCCCAAAGCTTAGAACTTTGATAGTTGGCAGTTGTCCTGAACTATCAACTGTTCTTCTTCCATTCAATTTGCTTCAAAGGCTACAACATTTGGAGAACCTTTGGGTAGGAGATTGCAAGACATTGGAACAAGTATTTGATTTTGGTTCTGAAGGAGAAGGCATGAAGCTACTTTCTAGTTTGAGAGATTTAAGACTAGGCCCCTTGCCTAGATTGAAGCATATATTGAACTGCTGCAGTCGTCAACATGTGGAACTCGGCAACCTAAGAGTTATGCATGTCAATGAATGTGGTAAACTGAAATATGTCTTCCAACCTTCCATAGCTCAAGCTCTTCATCAACTTGAAGAGCTTGCGGTATTTGGCTGTGAAGAAATGGAGGAAATTGTTGCTGCGAAGCAAAACGAAGGGCACGAAGAGAGAGTGGACTACAAGATGGTGTTCAAAAGTCTCAAACAACTCTACCTTACAGGTCTTCCAAACCTAAGTGGTTTCTGCACAGGAGGAGACGACTTTCCTTTTGAATGGCCATCCTTGGAACAACTTATGGTGAAAGAGTATAGCGACCCCGGTCTTTTCCCATTTGATTATTGTATCCGGACTTAGGTTCCGTAGATTCTGTCATTGTGTAATTGTTGTTGTTGTCCCTTATTTTCTCATTTGGAATTATAGGATGTGTTGGGCAGGTTTGTTTCAGGTTGGTTGGGTTTAGAAACCAAGTGTTGCTGTCCAGGTTTTTGGTTCTTCGCTCGAGCGAGGAGTTGTTCGCTCGAACGAGAGGTTGCGTCTGATTTTGGACCTGTAGCTGTGCATTCTTGGCTCGAGCGAGCTTTTCTTCGCTCGAGCGAGTTAGTTCGTTCTTCGCTCGAGCAATAGTTCCTTCGCTCGAGCGTGTGTCTGGTTACAGACCTGAGGGTTTGAGTTCTTCGCTCGATCGAGCTTTCTTTCGCTCGAGCGAGCTTTTGGGTTGTTGGCTCGAGCAAGGTTTCCTTGGCTCGAGCGTAGTTTCTTTGTGTCTGGTCACTCGAGCAACCATGTCTTCGCTCGAGCGAGACTGTCCAGTTTATATACACAGCAGCGGGTTTTGATCAGTCCTTTTGATCTTCTTTTGATTCCAAACTCTAGGTCCGACCTCTCTCTCTCCCTACTCACTTTCTCTCTTAGATTTGATCCACTTAGGGAGTGTTTCTACCCTAGATCCTTCATTAAAAAGATAGAGCGGTGGAGGATAGTCGTGTTTGTTGTAGACATTGCATGTGGATTAGGATTAACTGAAACTAATCACATTGGTTAAGTCATTAATTTTGACTATTGCATTGATACAGAAAATATGTGTATTGATTGAGCATTGCATTTGCATACATTGTTTTGTGTGTGTGAGGAGATAGGGGATGTACTCCACGGTTTAGGGGAAGATAGGGGATGGACCTCTAACCGGATTTTGTTTGGGAGGAGATAGGGGATGGACTCCATTAGCATCACTTTTATGTGTGCTTATTATATTGAAGTGTTTTTATTGATACAGCACTAAAATGTGTATCAATCTGGAAGTATGAAGTGTTGTGAATTGAGCTTGAGTCTCATTTGTTTGTTGATATTGGAAGGATGTGAATATGGTATATGTAATTCACTGTTGTAAGTTTGGCCAGGTTCTGAGCCATGTTGATAAAATTGGAAAGTAAATTGTATTTTAGACAATAGTGTCATGAGACTGTAAAATGAAGTGGTTGATTATCTTGGTTAACCATCTGTCAAATACTATTGCTTTATTCATTTTCTTATATGTGGTTTAGTATATTTCTGCTGGGCTGTGGCTCACCCTTTATGGGAACATCATTTTCAGGTTCAGGTGATAAGCTACCTCCAAGGACTTAGCTTTGAAGGACTTGGATTCTGAAGACTATTTTTTTTTAGTTGTTTGTTTTTGGTTGTTAGTACATGTAAACATTCAAGCCTAGGGCTTTTCTTGTATTGAGTTAGAACTCATATTTTTGTATCCAAGTGTTGGCTTGGAAAGATGTAAGCCTGCAGGGCATTTTATTCGATGTTACATGTAATGTTTTATTTAGTAATACTCTGATGAATGAATTAATAAATTGTCTTCTTTAAATAATGCATGTCAATGATATATAATGGGTTAATTTTGAGGGTGTTACAAAGAGTGCCCCAACATGAAGACTTCCGCTGCCACTACTTCCGACAGCACACCAAAACTGAAGGAAGTTGAAGTTGGTAACTTCAAGAAAATACCGCTACAGGGGATGGACTTGAATCAGTTTGTGCAAACCCATATCATTTCAAAGCCACCTAAGGTACTTCTCTATTTTACCACATTTAACATATATATATATATATATATATGTGTGTGTGTGTGTATATCAGGTAATTAGTTACTTATATTATGAGGCAATGTTTTTTTTTAAAAAATAAAAATTAATTAATTAATTAAATTGGGTCCTTGACTAATAAACTAGTAAATCAATGGACTATATATATTCATTGTGTTTGTATGATCCATATTTGACTAATTTTAAATTTACATCATACACTTCAATTTCAGAATAAAATTTAAGATGAAAATTCATGATAGCATTTTTGAATGAACTACAAATCAAATTATCAACTCCTCCTCCTTGTTGTGAGTAGTTGATAATTTAGTTTATAGATAATTAGAGATCTCTAGTAATTTTGAATTATATTTAGAGCAATGCTACATACACAAAATTTGTACACCTAAAAATGCTCAAAAATTTTAATATACGCTCGAAATTTATTCAAAATGTAGACTCTACGACATAAGAGTTGAATTTTAACTACATTATTTTTTTAGGTATATTATTGTGCATGAATTTTGTGCATAGAGGCCCTTTATTACGCTAAAATAACATTTTTAAATTTTTTTATATAGATTACACTTTTTAATGTAAAATTTATTGTTTTCTTTTATTATTTAGTTAAAATTTAATATATTGTCCTCTTTCGTGCATAGAGTTTTATTTTTATTTTTAAGTGTTAAGTTAAGTTGATGGATAGAGAAATTTTACTTTTTATTAGCCTTTTACAATGAATGTTCATTTATGTTTCTATTATCGAAGGCCTTTGACTATCTAAAAAAAATGAGATAATAAATTATTTAATATTCTAGCAACAACTCACATGGTAATGCTCCCTAAAATGAACCATTTGAATAGTTCTATTTTAGTTTGGGAGTTTTTTTTAGCAAATTTTAGTATAAGGACATTTGGACAATGAATTTTTTTTTGGGCCTTTGGATAAAGATGGAAGAGACCTAGTGGATTGAGATAATGCCTTCCTTAAATAAAAAAGAAAATGCTAATAATGGATTTCTTTTTTTCTTTTGTTTTTATGCCTCTTAATAAATTTTATATTTGGTAAGGGATTTTTTTTTGGTTTCAAGTTGTCGAATTTCAAAAGTGAGGCCTTAGGCAATTGCATTAATAGCCTAATAATGATGAATTGTTATTAAGTCAACTGTGCTACACTACATGTATATTTATATTAAATATTTTATTTTTCTTAAGACCAAAAAAAAATTATATTCAATCAATCAAAAAGTGATAGAGGTCATGACTTGGAGTGATGATAGAAAGTGTCATTCGCCAAAAAGTGAAAGAGGGGAAGAATGCCTCCTTGCTATCTCTCTCAAAACAATTTTTGGTCCTTGTGCATTTTGTAAGATCTTTATTCAATCGATAGGTAATTTGAAAATGGTGTGAGTTTTCAATATAAATTTTATTACATAAGGAATAAATAAAATTAATTGGCCTTTCAATCTGCATATTTTCTTTGAGGTCCATTCAGCATACACTTGATAGATTTGTCAGCCTATGAAATCATGCCTAGACAATATTGTCAGGTTTCTCACATTTTTTTTTTGTTGTCTTATGAATGTTTCCTATCATAATCTTTCCTAATTTTTTTCTTTTCTAATTTTTTTCTTTTCTTTCTTTTTTTTAGGCAAGACAGACTGGTACTCTTGAAGATGAAATCCATGTTGAATCCTAATCAGATTGTGAACTAGATTATGAATTTATGAGGAATAACTCTCATGAGTAAGTGGACAATTCATGATTTACCTCAAGCTATACCCAAAAAAAATACAATTCTTATCTGAAAGGAATTTTCTATTACAGAAAAATAGATATGTTTTGTGGAAAAAAAAAATTGTATACTTTTTTCAGGAAATTTTTCTAAAACCTATCCCATTTTTTAGGAAACAACAAAAAGTTATTCCCAAAATTTCAAATGTTGTTTTTATGCAAAAATGAAAATAGTATGATGACGATGGTGTTTTTGAATTTTTTTTTTCTGAAAATAAAAAACAAAAAGGCAAACATTATATGTTACAAAATACAAATATCTCTATCCTTCATGGAAATATATTGCTAGATTATTATTGAGTTTTCATTTTCCTTTTGCAGTTATCAACCATAAAGAATGTTGAGCTGCTCCCTATATGTGATGTCTACCTTAGGATTTTATTATGTAAGGACATATGCTTCCTATGATTTGTGTTTCTAAATAATTGTCTGGCTTTGCAATATCAAAACTACTACTCTAAATAAAGGTATGTTTACCTAATGTGTGCTAAAGATTTGAAGAGTGAATAAAGGTCAAAAAAAAGTATCAAGTGTGTGTAATTTTACTTTCTTTGCATTGTAATGGAGCTTGTATCCGAAATTATTTATCTCAATTAATAGTATTGTATGTTTGTTTTCATGCTTGTTTGTATTTGTGGTAAAAAAATATATTGCAATTTACTTTTTACTGAAATGTGATTGACTAGTAATAATTCAGAGTAAAACAATGAATTGTTGCTTGAATTTGTTAAGAGGGGCTTGTAATTCATTCAAATTGTTGCTTGAATGCTTGTAATTCAAGCGAAGCAAGTTATGTTATAGAATCCAATGAGTCCATACTTAGATTTATGTTAGGAAATCCAAAGTGTGCATACTTAGAATTAATACACGTTATTTCAAACATGCATCTACTTAATGGCTTAAAAATATATGGAGTAAATCCATCCGACATATATTAAGACTTTTCTTTTGCTTTTATTCCAATATGGGACTAGTTTACTTCAAGAAATTCCAACAATCTCCCCCTCAAATGTGAACTTATACATCGGGCAAAGTTTTCTCTCGAGTCTAATTTACTCACTATGCCTTATGCCTTGTAATGAGGTTTGTAACAAGTTACTCCAGAAAGATAAACTATCTTTTGCAACATTTCAAAAACATAGGATAATCATAAAAACATGTGGAAAAGAATGTTTCTTTAGCAATGAATCCTTTGCAATTGAATCTTATATTTATCTCAAATGAATATCCAATGATATTGAGGAAATAAAAAATGACACACATTAAGAAGACATAGGATCTCCATTTAGAAATAGAAAGCCATTGCATGCCCCTTTTGGAAAGAAGTGCTTTAGTCACTCAGGTAATATCCAAGCAACTCCTGTATAGTTTGTGGTCTATATGTCCAAGTCCAACGAATATCGACAAACAACATTTATTCATACATATCAACATCGTCAATTACGGAAAATTTAATTGGAAGGAAGTTCTTAGCTACTATAGAAATATCCAAGCAAAGTGAATCGTAATATGTGGTCAATTTTAATTTTCAATCAATAAAAATCAAAAGATTAGTTCAATGCCAAATTTTATCCAACTTTGACAAAACCAAACCGTTAAACCCTAGTGAGCATGCTTGTAACTACAAAGGCAACAACTAAGTCTGCCTACCATCGAATTTGTTAGCTATCTGAGCTTGCTAATTTTATTACTTATCTTCCTTCTCTTAACCAAGAAATCTTCCAAAAGGCCCCCACAAACAAGATATATGTGGAACACAAAAAACTAAGAAAAAATTAAAAAAGAAAAAAAAGAAAACACATACTAAATCCTTAAACAAGCTATGTGAAACACATCAAATTTTGATAGCATGAAAAAGGACAATTATTGTCCAGCTTCAAACCCCTACCAGATAGATGAGTTACCAAATGTAATGTCTAAATTTCAGTATACTGTTATGTAGCTTTCCCTTCCCCTACCAATTTATATATATATATATTTATATTGTAGCAAGCATCCACCTGAGTCCATGTTTTGTTCACAAATGAGCATCCAAAAGCACATGAAAAAAAATCACTTTATTGATATAAATCAAGAAATGAAATACATCAATAAAGTAGAGGGAAGTGCAGAAAGAATCAAAGCTAAACCGAAAAACACACACACACACACACACGCGCACACAGAGAGAAAGAACAAAAGCAGAACTCATTCTCACACAACTCAAAAGAGTAACAGAAAAACTTCTCCAAAACTCCCAAATCAAGAACAACCCTCAGCCTTAAAAAGCAACAACACAGCCTTATAAGTTATAACTTAAGGCTATGAAAGCAAGACCTCCCTAGCCAGCAAAGCAGCAACCCTACACCACCAGCAACATCAAAGAACATATCAGCAGTAACAAGAAGAACAATAAAAAAGAGCCAAGCCCCCATCGCACCTCAACCATCTTATCGCTTCAATGTCTGTCAAGGCGGCTTTGAAAGAAGCTTTAGTTTGAGTTTCCTGATTCCGTCAAAGCAGCTGATAATACCAGACACTGGGTAATTGACAATACCAAAACAAGCTTTAGCATAAAGAGCGAAACACAAGTTTACTAGGTGAATCACGTCATGAACATGCTGTTCTGAGCGGTTAAAGACAGTAGCATTTTGAGCTTACCAGACAACCATGTAGAAGACGGTCACCCAAAGTCGTTTCTCAGGGTTCCAAAAAGGAGGATAAAACCACCACATAAAAAGATCAAAGAAAGAGGCAGGGCAGACCCAACAAACACCACCCACACCAGTTTAAACAACAAGACTAGTGTTCCCAAGCGAACTGACAGTCAATTAAGATATGGTATACCGATTTGACAAATCTCAAACACATTGGACAAAGTGCTTAAAATTCATTTAGGATTACCCCTGTTAGATAAATTATTATGAGAGGCTACTTTACCTAGAATAGCTTGCCAACAAAATATTTTGACTTTGAATGGGCAAAGATTAATCCACCAAAGAGATGGGACTTGTGAGGAGAAACCTTAAAACCACAAGATAAATTTTTAGACATTATAAAAAGATCTAATCGAATAGGTCCCATCATTTTTATCCCACTTTCATTGCAGCTTATCTTCCATGTCAAGAGTCAAGCAAAGCGAATTAAGTTTATTCATTAAATTATCCCAAAAGGACATTCTTCCAAACAAATAAACTCCTCCTGAATTGCAAACACCACTTGTTCAAGCTTCCATCGAACAAAAGAACATCATTAACCATAACAGCTATCTGAGACAAAATCTAGAATAGTCTAGGAAACTCATCTTTCAAAGATTTATCAACGAACCATAAATCATGCCAAAACAAAACTTGATGTAAATCCCTGAACCAATCAAAACAGAAAATCCCTCTTGAACAATATTCTTATTTCCAATGCAAAGACACTTGGGATCTACCAACATTAAGGTCTTATTTGATAACCCTGGTAGGAGTTGGGATTGGATGGGTAATTTGATAAGTATCGCACGATTCATGTTTAGTTGCACACAACCCCCTCCCCCCTCCCCCCCAAAAAAAAAATTGAGGAAAAAAAAGGTGTGGGTAAACAATCCCATTAAACAATAAATTCCCAAAAATGAGTGAATTAGGAATACCATGTGATCAATTTGCCCCGTGAGAATGTGTTAAAAGACAATTTTGCCTCCGCAATGTATAAACAATAAAATCAACTTCTATGTAATAAGGTTTTATATGAAATTTCATATATTTAATCCTGACGAACTAGTGCAATACAAACATTAGCAATTTGTATTGATGTAATAATCCCGTGGTAAACAACTGTGAGCATTTGGTATTACATATTCAACCTAATACCATCATACTAGTAATTTTTAAATGTTAGCCATGGCCAATGAATTTGCATGCAAAGGCTGTAAGGTTCATTAATAATATGAAAATGTAGTTGTAGTGAGTTGAGTGATGTGTATAACATTTTTCTTAAGAAAATGAAAGATTATCAAAAGGAAAAGAAAAATAGAAAAAAAGGAGTTGGTACATGTTCTTTGTCACCTTTTATCCCTATAAACAATCAAACATCATACCATTGAACTCATGAAACTGCATACAAAAAAGGACTGCAAAGTAAGGTTCATTTATGGACAACCCATGTGTAGACACCCCACTTTTGACCAGCCTTAAGATTTGGGCGCTCTTTCTTGGGTACCCAATGATGAAAATGAGATGTGCTAGTCCTATGAATCTCTTAGCAAGAAGCCTAAGCTACAAGCTTTAAACTTTCCAAACACCGGTTTTGGCCAAAATGCTTTTCGACGAAATGAGAACCTTTTTCAAAACGAGTTTGGTTGTGCAGTTCCAAACATTACCAATATATCCTGTGGCTCATTATTTCTCAAGCTAGAATAACACGCATTTTCAAACAAACAGAGCAACGGATACAATGGGAATGAATGGAAGAGGTGAAATCCTCTGAAATACCTGTTACTCCTCTCAATTCAGGCTAACCTTACCTTGTTGATCTAACGATGTACTTTCTGACTGGCTGGACAACATAAGATGGCCAATCAAAAATGCATTCGGTTGGACATCAAATGGTACGGCCAGCTGAATTGTCCGAGTGCAGAGCATTTTGGGGAAGTTCAGCTTGTTCAACACACTTTTCATAAATATCTTAGATATTTACACCCGAGGCTATATAGATAGAGCTCGTCAGCCCTTTCTAGGGTTTGGAAAATTTGCCCAAGGCTAAGATAAGCCTCTTGACTTCTCTCTCTTTCTCCTCCATCTCCTACCTACCACCCTCTAACTTTGAACAATCAAACACCATCAAAGCTTGATCCTAAGCTTCTTGTGAAAGTTCTTGGACATTTTAAAACATATCTAAAAGGACTTGAGGGAATCAAAAGAGAGTTTGGTAAACAAACAAGTTTTTAAAAGGTGAGATTATTAAACTTTTGACTGTCATTTCTTCTCCTTTCCTTTATTTTTGACCTTATTCTTCATTATATAACTGTTGTAAATATGTAACAAGTCCTCGTGGATGTGGAGGGAGTAGAAATTAGCCACCCCTCCATTGAGTTGATAGTCTTTCTTTCCTTTCTTGCTTTCTTTAGCTAAAGTCTCTTATTGCTGTATATTTTGGAACCTTGTAGATGTGATTGGGAGTAGAAATTAGCCATCCATTCACAAGTTTAATATGCAGAGTAGTTTTTCTTCTTGTTACACACTTTCTTTTCACATATCCTATCTTCCAATCACTTTGATCCATGTGTCTCAACTCTTCACTATATGTCAATGAGTGCTAGGGGTTGTTTCATAGGATTGCTTGGATGATCCTTGGGATTTGATGTTGAAAAAGTTGTGTTCTCCCTTCTATTGAGTATTTTTAGAAGCAAAACAAGAGATTTTATGTCAAAAGGCATTGAACTCTTTCTTCTCGATCATTTGTGAACATGCAAAGGGGTAGAAACACTCTTGTTCCATGAATAAAAAAAGAGTTTTCAATGGATTTTTGATGAATCCCTTGCTTTCAAAGCAAAGCTTCCGCTAAGAAATGATGTGCATTAATCTACTCTCTCCAATTATAGCATAGATTTGGGTACTAACATGCCCTTATTCACAAAGAGATGATGTAGGCTCCCATCTATTTCTTAGGCTTGAATTTGTTTTTTGCTTTGATCCTCTTATTTCGTCAATTTGTTGCAAAACATCTATTGTATATATCTGTTTATGCTATTGTGAAGGGTTGAGACCCATCTACCTCTTCCCTAAGTGATTCCTGTAAGTGGAAGAGGTAGAAGGGATGAGCACCCCTTGAAAGATGTTCTTAGCTTTTGTTCTGGACTTTCTGCACTGACCTACATCTCGAACGAAAGAAGAGTTCAGCCGGCCAAATTCCAATTCGGCCGACCCATTTTATGTCCAACCAGATGATCTTTCCCAAGAATAGAGCAAACAATTTCTAAAGGGTGCTCTCCTGGGAGGTTCTGAAGCTGTTGGATAGTTTATTTTAACTATTTAGTATAATTTGTTAGATTCAACAATAACTTAGCTGAATTAATTAAATGTTGTAATAATTTCTCTAATCCCGATTTGTTTCTTTTATTATCTATTCAATTATTGTAATAATCTCTCACTTCATCCCCCTCCCATTTCTTATTCAAATTGTTGTAATAATCTTCCAACCCCACGTCTTTCTAACTTTTTTATTTACAAGCTTTATGTATAGCATCATGTCTCATTTATCACACCCACGTATTACATCCATTTTTCATGCATTAGGGTCTGGCTCATTTGCATTTGTAGAGTTTGTCACCTCATGTCTTGAGATGATATCCATGTCATGTCTTAATATCCGGACTTATAGATGCATGTCATATATGTGTTGCATTAGTTATTTGTATATAGAATCATGCATATACTCTAACCTATTCTTTTGGCTCACCTCGGAATACTAGGTGAGCATTTCTTTACTTTAGCATATTGTGTATATATTTCCTCTATCATGTTCATTGCTATACCATAAGGCTAAATGCTTAATTGAAATATCTGTATGAATGCCAGTGGATGAAAGTTATGTTGCTTATATTGGAATGTGATTGATTTTTATGGTTCGGGATTTGTACAAAATGGTTTTCCAAAAATGCATGAAATCAAAACATAACCAAAATCAATGACAGTCTATATTTGATTGCCTCGGATAGTAATGTTAGCATTAATAATAACCAGAATATGAATATATAGACTACAAAAATCGCATGACGACTTAGTAGAGACCGATCTTTTGATCGGGTGAGTGAGAGTGCTCAATTAATGACCTTCCCCTCTCATACCTACATTCCCGAGTCGAGACACTTTGGTTATGACGGACAGTGGCCTTTGGCACGACTCACGAGTTTCCTAATTTTCCCAAAAGATTAGATGGCAACACTAAGATCTGGTGATGTAGTCCATTTTTAGCAAAATATTTGCAATAAAACGATTTTTTACAAAAATTGTTGAATTTGGACTATCATCTATCGTTTCACATTGCACTAGTGACACTAAATCAGGAGATTGGGAGTCTAAATTGTTGGGCGCACTTGGTAGCCCCGAAGGCATCCCACCATGTCTTCCAACTTATTATTCTCATCTTCATTAATATTTCATTTGGGAGATCATTTACTCCCTTTTGACGAAAATTTCACTTTAATTCCTATTATTTTAATTTGAACAATGTAAAAACTTTCTTCTTTTTTTTTTTTTTTTTTGGTCGGAAATTTAGCTAAGTAATTGAATATATAAATAATGCTAAATGTAGTCCATTAATTGCTTATTCTATTCATAATGCAAAGCTAATTGAATGATCTGCATGAGCTACTAAGTTCCATTGTACATCAGAATATAGAGTGGCCAATGGACATAACATGTATGGCCACCGATGGGGTGTGGTGTGAGTATATTTTATGCGTCATATAAAACCTCTATAATGTTGATTTTTTTTTTTCAAGGTTCTGTGTTTATTTACATATATGAACTATTTAGAAGAAAAATGGTTGACTCATCTACTTTCCCCCTGTACGATTCCATTTTGTTTCTTGGCACATGAAATTTGAGGAAAGAAATGATTTCAAAAAATGTTTCAAAAAACAGGAAAAAATGGAAAACATACGAACCGGGGAAAAAAATTCCATATGATAATGCCAATTTTGAGGTTTGAGGTTTGTGGTTTAGAGAAAGCTACCTCATTCTGTAGACTATGCAAACGGGTCCAAACGAAAAGAATTGCTGGAAGATTAAAGGAGATATCTGCCATTTTTAATGTGTTTATTTATGAAGATGCTATACAAATTAACTTATTTACTAATAAAATTTCAATATACCAAATGGAATCCAATGAACTAATATGAAGGAAACTTCAAAAAAAAATATTTGTTAACATAGCATTACTCTTTTATTTATTTATAAGAAATCCATCTTAGCTAGTTGGCAAGACTATGTTCAGATAGTAGAAATAGAGGTAAAATTAGAATTTTATCTCAGTTCTCCTTCATTATGTTGTTTGAGTGTATTCAAATACAAAATATAATTTTGGGTTACCTTCCCAATGTGAGAATATCATTCCCCCACTCCTACAAAAAATCTCAAATTTCTTAAGCATTCAAGTGTAAAAAAATGGTTCCACATTATTTAAAATTGAACTATTTTTCATGGAGAAATTTGTACTAATCCAAACAAACAATGAAACTGTATTAACCTTGAAATCCTATTTTTTATAGGATTCATATTCTTTCTTTTTAAATCCTACCAACCAAACATAGCATATGAAACTTACTTCCTAGAAAAATCATCTACAGATGATCAAGAGAGCTACTAGAGTAGAAAAAGCACAACTCACTTGCCTAGTGCAAGAAACCCCCCGAGTAAAATTAAAAGAAAAAAACAAAAACAAAATCAGCTTTCAATATACTCATGACAAAATAATTACTTCTAAGCAAAAATACACTAGTAGACGGATAAAATTAAAAATCAAGAAAATGATAGATCTCCCAATAATGAGATTCTAGCAGCACAGTAGTGCAAATTCTAGCGGCACACTTCTGTCAAATTGGTTTCATATGCATTGTTTGGTTCGTGTTGGAGAATAAGTACATATGTTTTATGCAAGTACTGCATCACATAACATAAATAAGAATTTATGCAAGACAAGTAAAAATTTACATAAATTATTCTCAGAAACAAAAACACATTTAACTTAGCACAATTTCAATGTCAAAGTATGCTCATACCAAATTGTAGGTGTACACATTCTCCATAAAACAGTTCATGTATGTCACAAGCTTCCAGCAGTGTTCCTCAATTTGTCAAACTAAAACAAAACACACAAGACTTTTCAAACACCTTTTTGCTATATGAGAAGTATTATAAGCTCTACAAGAATAGTATGAGAACGACAAGATCATATAGTTGCACTCCTTGTTTGTTTACTCTTATTGCAAAAAGGGCTGAAAGATCCTCTTTTTCTTTAAAATGTGACCGTTAGCATACCATAATATTAAACTTGTAAATCAAGGCAATAAGGCCTTATTAAATCAACAAAACTAATCCCATACAATAATTTATCATCATACAATTATATCAAACCCGGTGCCAATCAAAAAACAAAAAAAAAAAATCAATCCAAAGGTTTCAAGTGTAAGCAGTTGATCCACACACAAGTTTTTCTTGTTTTTAGTAACAATAATACTCTCAACAATTTTCACATGTCGCTTATTCAATATTTGTCTTCAGATATTCCAGTTTCCGTTGGATGAAAAGTTGCTAAATCATTGGCAGAGCTAGTTGGGTGTCAGTTCAGTTATGTGATTCACCGAAAAAAATACATTGAAAATTTGACAAACCAACTTGAAACGTTGGAGGCACGGTGAAATGGGGTGCATGGATCCATAAATGTAGCGACAGGAAATAGAGAAGAAATATCAAAATGAGCTCCACCTTACTTGGATGTCATTTGTGTGCGGCCAAATGTTTCCAACTAATTGTCTTGCTTTGCAATATCGAAATTGTTACTCTAAATAAAGGTCTAATGTGTGCTAAATGAAGAGAGAATAAAGGGGATAAGTGTACTCTTGTGTAATTTTACTTTTTGCATTGCAATGGAGCTTTTGTCCAAAATAATTTGTCATTAACAATGTCTTATGTTTGTTTTCATGCATCTTTGTGACCTATAGTAAAAATATTTGGCAACCCCAAGGGGTTAGCCTGGTGGCAAGGCCTTAAGTCTTGGGGGTGTGCTCCCTCCAAGATTCAAGGATTGAAATCTCTTAGGTGCTAACAATTCCTTGGGGTCATCAGACTGGGGACAAACCCTTGAATTAACTGCAGTGCATTTGTAGGAAACTCCTTGCCTAGGGCCTGTGTGCCCTTGGAGATTAGTCAGGCTGTGATCCGAACATCCCAATGCCAATCCAAAAAAAAAGAAAAAAAAGAAAAGAAAATTTGGCCATTTGCTCTCTATTGGAATGTGATTGACTACTAATACCTCAAGAGTACAAAAATGAATTGTTGCTTGAGTTGTAAGAAGTGGTCAAGGACAAAGAAGAGATTGTGGTTCATTTGAAGTGAGCTTAGGTTGGGGAACCTGGAGGGTCCACCTGTGCAATTACTATGCCCAACACATTGTTTAGAACTTATACTGCTCTAGATGACAACAACCAGATACTTGTCTGGAATCTGCATTCCACCAATCTCACAGTCATTCTATCGGCAACCATCCTAGGTTAAGTTAAAGAAAGAAATTTCTTGTAGCTCTACTATCAAAAAGCACTTCTATTGATTTAGTAAAGTGGTACAAGTGATGCCCCATTTTAGGAGGAGAAACTATGCACTTTCAAAAAAAGTTAGAAAAAATGCACAAAGTTTAAAGCTATGTTTATATATTTGGATGCTTTTCACGCAAAAAAAGACAAAACGGGATTGGATTTCCACTCATAAGGAAGGATACATATCTTTGACAGGGTTGTATTTTTGGTTGAAAGTGTTCAAATTCTATAAAGGACGAGCTGTTCAACTTTGAAAACTTAGCTAAGGTCAAGGCCAACAGTATTCTATTGTACAACCACTTAATCTTAATAGTACGACAACTATTTTTGTTTAATAGTACAACTATTGTCGTAGTACTGAAGTACCAAGGAAATCTTCAGTTCCCCTTGTTAGCATTGCATTCATTACAAAGTAAACTAAGCCTAACTAACCACAACATACTCGATGCAACCAACAATCTGCACACCTAGTCAAAAAGAAATAGGTTCATTCCTATCAATAGCAAGAGCCCTCGAGTCTGCTTTAGGTCTAGATTGATTTTCATGCTAGTTCTTGCTCCAGCATGAAAGTTCCATTTTAGGGAAGGATGACATACCGCAATACTTTTTGTTTTAACTTGTATGTGGTGCATCTGTTCAATATAAATTAAGACCCTTTCCTCTGACTGGTTACTCCTCTAGGGCTTAGCTCAACCATCATTCACCTTTTACTCTCTCTCCACATGTTCTCTTCATCATCTCTCCTTTTCAACAGTTTTTCTCTCTCCCCCCCATCATTTGTCTTTCTCCCTTCTACTCAAACGACAACTAAGAAAGGTTTTTTAAAACTTCAAAACACAAATGAAGTTTCTACTTTGGACCAACGGTATAAAATGAAAACCCACTTATAATCACTCACTGTTAGGGAATGGAGAATTGACTTTTAAAACGACCAAGTAAAGATCTTAAGACTCACTATTTTTTTTCTTTGACAAAATGTCCCAAGGACTTCACATTTTCAGTTGAAAAAAGCCTATTTCTCAGCCTATCAGCTAAACAAGCCTTACTAAATTTCAAAGACTCCAAAAACAAAAACCAGAAAGAAGCTTCAATTGCTTAACGACATATTAAGCACCCCAAAAAAATTTTGGAAAACCTATTTTTCAGTCAAAAATCTTCAAGAGCAAGATGAACAACATCATTTTATCATCAATTCCTATATTATCAAAATTATCGGTGTAAAAAAGGGTAAGAGAGAGAAATGGCAGGGAGAGAGAAAGCAATGAGAGGTGGAAAAGGTGATGATGTGAAATGAAGAGATGGTGCGAGGGAAAAAATTTCAAATCACAATACTTGTCGTCTCGTCTCGTTGCACAATAAAAAGATAATGTGTCGTTATTGTCATTTGCCACCAATGCTTTTCCTTTTCTTCTTCTTCTTCTTTTTTGCAAAACTTTAAAATACCTCAAAAAAACATAAGTCACCAGGGAAAAAATGCCAGTTGACAGGGTGATAAATGGCATTTTAACTATGGCTCTTGTTTTAATGTACATAACAAATTGTAGTGTACAAATAGTTTTATAATTAAGTTTGGACCTTTGTTGCTGCTCACTGGAAATAGAGCCCCTTTTGGAAGGAAGTGCTTTAGTCACTATGGAAATGTCCAAGCAACTCCTTTGTAGTTTATATGTCCAGTGAATATTGACAACAACATCTATTCATATCAACATCATTAACTACGGAAAACATTGCAGGTCCTTTTTAAAAGGCAATGCTTTAATCACTATGGAAATGTCCAAGCTACTCCATTATATAGCTTATATGCCCAACAAACATTGATGACATCTATTCATATCAACATCATCAATTAAAGAAAACAAAAAGAAAATGACAAGCAAGATTGTAACTACAAAGACAACAAGTATCTACAAAAAGAAAATGACAAAGCAAGATTGTAACTACAAAGACAACAAGGGCCAATCTCTCTCATTTGTTTAGGTAAAAGAAGGGTTGTCCTTATTACCTCAAAATCGCCCATATATGTATAGTCTTCCACCACCTTAAAGTTTCAAAACCAATATACCACTCTCTCTCCCCACGAGCCATGGAATTTGTTAACTATCTGAGTTTGCTACTTTTACTTACTCCTATCTTCCTCTTCCTAACCAAGAAAACTTCCAACAAGCTCCCACCAGGTTCCATGGGATTACCCATCATAAGCCGTAGCCTCAGCCTTCTACATGCCATGCGAGCAAACAAGGGTGAGGCATGGTTCCATGAAAGAATAAGAAAGTACAGTACCAATTCCAAACTCAGCCTCTCTGGAACTCCTATAGTTTTTCTCCATGGACAAGCTGCAAACAAATTTGTATACACGTGTGACAGCAAGACGTTTTCCAACCAACATCAATGAGGCGAGTCTGTGGTGAGAAAAATATACTGGAGTTGAGTGGCGAAGATCACAAGTGAATAAGGGGAGCACTTGTATCCTTTTTGAAGCCTGAAGCATTAAAGCAGTATGTTGGGACAATGGATGAAAAAGTTAGAAAGCACATGGAGATGCATTGGTTAGGCAAAAATGAGGTCAAGGTATGTTGCAACTACTGATGTAAATTTCAAAACTCTAGATTTAAATCCATAGTAACTAGTCAATAAAATTATAATGAAATGAAGTTCATTCTTTCTTTGCAAAAGCAAATCATGACGTCATGTGTGGAACAAGAGATGCACATGAGGTTTCTGTTTGGCTAGTAGCTATTTGAGAATCTACAAAACCAACCACATATACACATGGAGAAATGACAATTTCCATTGGACCTTAGACATGTTAACCTATTAATTTTTCCTCCTTGCATTAATAGTATGAAATAATTTGTTGATAATATAGGTGATGCCTTTGATGAAGACCCTCACATTCAACATTATTTGTTCACTCATATTTAGAATAGAACGAGGAGCAAGAAGAGATGCACTAAGAGGTTTGTTTCAAAACAGGATTGAAGGAATGCTGTCAGTACCAGTGAATTTGCCTTTCATACGCTTCAACCATAGCCTCCGACCAAGGGAAAAAATGAAAACCATAGTCATGGACCTTATAAGTGAGAAGAGGGTAGCCTTGGAAAAAAAATGGTGCTTCCCCTCATCAAGATCTCATCACTTGCTTGCTTGGTATCCACAATGAAGACAATTCAGCTCTACTGTCTGATGAGGAGATTGAGGACAGTGTGGTCATTATAATGATTGGAGGATATGACACATCCTCCATCCTCCTTACCTTCTTGATCAGGCTTTTAGCCAATGAACCATCCATTTATGTTGTATGCCCCCAACTGGCTCCCTCATCATGATTCATGAGAAAGATTTAAGAACTGAAAAGTTAGAAGCATACTAGAAAATAGAACATACTGAAAAATTATCTGTTTTGAGATTGCAGAACAAGAGAAGATTGCTAAAAGCAACACCCTGGGGGAGCTTCTCACATGGGATGATCTTAGCAAGATGAAGTACATTTGGAAAGTAGCAATGGAGACTCTAAGGATAACCCCTCCTGGGTTCTGTTCCTTCAGAAGGGTCCTCAAAGATACAGAATTTGGAAGATATCCAATACCAAAAGGGTGGCAAGTATGTGTAAATATTGCTAATATTTCCATAATTGTAGATTAATTACCAGAACAAATGTGTGTAATGTAAATAAAATAAGAGCTAGAAGTAACACAAATTTCTGATAAACAGGTGGTATGGGCAGCAAGCATGACTCACATGGATGAGACGATTTTCCCAAATCCATCAAAGATCAATCCAACACGCTTTGAGCAGCAACCACCAGCCCCTTACTGCTTTGTGGCATTCGAGGAGGACCAAGAATGTGTACTGGGTATGAGTTCGCCAGAATTGAAACACTAGCTTTACTTTGTGACCCAGTTCACATGTAAGCTTTCCTGCATTGACGATTCTTTCTGCAAAGATCCAATGCCAGTTTTCAATCAGGTGCTACCAATTCATATTAAACCAAAGAAATCAAATGGTGCGATTTAAGTTCACACAGCTTTCATTGACCTTTGATGAAAACAATATTTCCCCTATTGAATAAACCTAATGCATCGGTTTCATGGAAACAATTCAGCTATAAAAGTAAAAAAATAAATTAAAAAAATCACTTTCTACATTTTATTAAGAAGATTTTGCTGCAGCAATTGTGCTGCAAGGCTTCTTCACAAGGTCAAGGGAATCACTCCTTGACAATTTGATTGATTTTCATGTCCAAGCACTCAAAAGGAATCAGTGGGAGCATTTATGTCACTATTACCATTTTGGTTCCTTATGAAGAAAACGGTGTATAATAAAAAATGCCAGTTATTTTGATGACCCTAGGCATAGCACGATTTCCAAAAAGTTCAAGTTAAGTCTAAATGCTATGTTGCCTTCAGTTCATTTTATCCCAGAGGAACTTTTATTGAACTTATGACATTCCACTTTATGAGTGGGGTTACGTGACACATCTATAGGTAATCTGGCTCACCTAACTTCTCAATGGGTAAACATTTTTCACCACAATGTTCAATTTGTCTAATCTGATCCATAATGAAATTTGGTCAAAACTTCATTTTTGCTTTCTGCCAAATATAAACTTCAAAAGAAGAAATAAAGTTTTGTTAAACAACAATTCAACTGCCCACTCAATCAAACCAGAATCTAGAATTATCCTACCAAGAAGTTAGTCAGCATTTAATATTTGTCAAGACTAGCATAATGCCTGATCCCTTTTTTCAATATTATGTGATATTGCAGAAGTACCATCTGAAGCTCATTCAAATCCCTGATTCCACTGGAATTTTTCCGGCACTAACATAATCAAATTTTATATCGATAAATTATCTAATATCCAAATACATCTCATTCTAAGACAGGAACATATTAGACTCTGCTAACATTCAAGCTCATTACGATGGTGAAAAAACCTTAGCCTTGAAACTTCACATCCTGTTGATCTCCATATGTTTTATGTTGATGTAAGAATGGATGTGCAACTTAGTATATCATATAAAGTCCTGTATTTGATAAAATATAGACACTTCCACTATTTTTAGTCAGGAATCCTTACAACATAGAAAAGAATATTATTTCAACAGACAGAACAAAACAAATTCAAACAAATACCAATAACGATCATATTACCAAATCAATAATATTAAATGTAAAAAGCACCTTTAAAGTATAGAGGCTATTACCACGTTTTGGTACTCTAAAAGCTTTTTTCCTTTCATTCATGGAATCTGCCACAAGTGATGCAATTTGTTTCACTTTTTTGCTTCGCCACCTTCTCCTGCTCTTCTACTTGCCGCCCTCTTTTTAATTGGGATCCATTTTCTAGGCCAAAGCCTCAACTTCTTGAGAGCACTAAGCAACCCAAGGAACAATGGCTACAAATGAGAATACAGAACATGGGTCAATTTCAAAGGTCAACCTCTTTGGCGCCCCATGGTTCTAATCAAGCCAGTTGCAAATAGATTTGTACTTATTAATGATAGGATTGTACTTTGCAATGAGCAGCCACAACCCTTTGTTTAGTAAGCTTTTACTACCAAAAAAGAAAGTACCCAAAAAAGAAGAATATACAACGGAACTCAAAACACTACCAAGAGGCCACCTTGCTACAGAGGCACACACAAAGGATCTAACCTAGAAAGGAAAGCCCCTCACAACCCGAGAGGAATAGGCACAAAGGACACTCAATTAACACGAGACACCAAACCCAAACCACCAAGAAACAAGCCACTCACAACCCAAAAGAATGGGCACAAAACACACTTCTCACAACCCGAGAAGCTAGACACAAAAACAAAACATAAAAAGAAAGAAAACCACTATCACACATTTTCTTGCAATTTCACAATAAAGTTCTCAGGATTGGTAGACAATTTAGCAAAGGATTTTGCCCATGCAAGCTTTAGATTAAGAATCTTCTTGTCGAGCTTCCTCTTGGTCTCATCTCTAGAACAAAGAATGCAATCCATATTTCTTTTAGTTCATCCTTGATTTCCTTTTCTCTAGGAGTAGAACACACATCTTTAGAAGCCACACTTTGAGAAAGGACAAGCCCATCTAAAGTCTCCTCCCTTGAAGGGGTGCTCATCATTTTCCTTTCATTCACATCCCCCAGGTTGTGCAAACCTTCGGAATACACCTTCTCCTATTCCTTACACTCGACCGCATTTGTTTTCTCCACCTTTTTTGAATTACACGATGCTAACACATCAAAATTATTAGATGAAGATGGACGGTAATTGAATTCTACAAGAATTTATTGACGAAATATTACAAGCAAGTGGACAGTTCCAGACACCAGAAGCATTTAAGACACAATAAGATTAAAGGGCCAATCATGTAACACCTAGATATGCATGATCAAAATATGGTCTACAAAAATTCTTAACCCAACCATTGCAATAAAATTTCACTTTCTAAAAAAGAAAGGAAGAATATCAACAAGAAACTAGTATTGTACATGTGCTTCTCTATGTCCTTAACAAAGGTAGTAGAAAATCTCCCACTCAATCTAACAAAAACTTTCTTACATTAACAGAACACTCAATGTACCTGGAAAAGATTTCTTTGAAGCATATCGTATCATTAGCAATAAGTTGAAACTAAGGTCTTAGGTCACTCACTAAAGCACTACTTTTGTGACAAGAATTAAATTCCCTTTAAACTAATGGAGAGTGTTCCTAGAAAAATTTTCCTTGCAACTAGTTGTAAGTTAAAAGTGAGGTAACTCAATAAAACACGAATATTTTTGTCAGGAACTAACTTCAGTAAATCAAATGGGGAGTGTTTATCAAAATGACTATTACAGGATCTTTTTTTTATCAGAAACAAAAATAATATAATAAAAAGCATAAATAAACAAAATTACAAAAAAGTGGGAAACAAGAAGTCCACCAAAAAAAGATAAAAATAAATAAAAAGAGCAAAACTCATCAAGGTTATAGACTACAAATGACATAATGCCCACTGATTCTAAAAAAACTAAAATAATTGAATCCCCTTTAAAGGAAAAGAAAGCAAAGCCCCAAATGAGGATAAAAAACACTCTATCCCAAAGAGAATCAATGTCCTTCAATTTGTCCTCAAAGATTCTAGCATATTGCACTCCAACCAAATACCCATGAACAAAAGACAATTCCACAAAGCCAAGTTTTCATGTTGGTACCCTAAGAAGCACGGGAACTTCTGTAGAGAAAGCATGTCATGTCCGATACCTCGTGTTCGACACCAACACTCTTCGGACACTCCTAAAAGCGTGTCCAACACTCCTTCAATGTGTCCTAGTTAAAACATCAAATTCATAATACTGGACATTTTACTGACACTTCACGAACACTTTGGCGACACTACTTCAATCCTTCGAGCACATCTTATATGATGAATCTCTTAATAATAACAATATTCTGCATACTTTTAAACACAATTTATGAACTGTAAATATGTTTTGAAACATTTATAATCTTAATACATCATGTGCATACAATATTCTATAATTGTTTTGCATTACTTAGAATGTAATTGTTAAGTGAATGATATCTTGATGTTTAAGTTATGAAATATACAGCTTTTTAATGTAATTTGTATTAACTTACATATATGACATACAATAAATTTGTAAAAATATAAAATTTTAACTTGTCCCAAGTGTGTCCTGTCCTGCACTTTTTGAAAATTGATGTGTCGCGCATCCGTGTCCGTATCATGTCCCGTGTCCATGTCTATGCTACTTATTTGGTACCAAAAGCTCTAAAGTCTATCAAAAGCAATTGAGAACAAGAAGATGAAGCCACCCAACACATATCCGCCACTTGGAATAACCAGTGCCATATAAACAAGGCCGAAAGACAATGCAAAAACAAGGGATCCAATGATTTCCATCCCTGCTACATACAATACACCATTGAGGGCGAAGATCGCAATTGGGTCTTCTTTTTTGAAATATGTAATTGGTCATAAGACTCTTGTGAGCCAAACTCCACACAAAAACCTTGACAATTTGCTTCATTTCAAATTGTTTCAAATCCTAGAATGATGGAGAAAAGGACGAGCATTGTGATTACCAATGATCTTGTTGAAAAATTATTTGCTTGAGAAGATCCCCGAAGAATTAAGTGACCAAACCCATTTATCATTGACATAAGGTCTGAAGGAGAAACCTTCAAGGATGCTCAACAAGGATGCCAAGTTGCCAACTCAATCAATTCACGATCATTAATATTTCTATAAAAAAATTGAAATTTCATGAAATTGGTGCCAATTGGGAAAGCACCATATATGCGATGGAGCATTATGAAAACAGACCAAATGGTACAAATGTGGGAACAAAACATCAAAAGAAGAATCCCCAAGCCAAGTATCTACCCAAAAAGGAACATTCCCACCATTTTCAACCCTTACAGAAAGGAAGCAGGAGTACACCATCTAATGTAATTTTATTTTTTTTTATCAACAACAAAAACAGAATTTATTGATAAAGAAAGTGAGGTTACAAGATGAGGACAATGAGTCCTCTTACAAGTAAAGACAAAGAAAAACCACTGTCAAATATAATGAAGAAAACAAGCCAATATTCACAAACAGCTCTCTAATCATTAGATATCAAAAAAGTAAATGTAAACCCTAGAAAAGCCTCAAGACCACCTCATCTAACTATGATTACATATGACTATAGTTGTTAAGGATTCCTTTGAACTCCAGAAACTGAATGCTGTATTCTGTCTTTCAATGATAACTTCATATTTGCATGGAGTCACTAGTAGTTCAAGTACTGATTAATGACAAAAGACAAAACTGTACATTTTGCTCAGGGAATGCTAAATCCCAGAAGAAGGGTGAGAAAAAAGACCATTTCTCGTAAATTGACTGTTTTATTTCTTAAAATGAAACAAAAACATAACCCAATAATATAGAATCTTCCTAGTTGTGATTGGTAACACATCAGAAAGGTGTCGGAACCCCATTCAAAAATACCCAATTCCTAACTTCTTGTCAATTGATACAAACATATAGTTCCAAATTTGAGTTATACGTCGGATAGTTTTCTAAAACAAAGAAGACAAATGAGGTAAATGCACTTTGTCAGAAAACACATCCTGCATAATTCGGAAACTAAGAAGGCAACTAATGTTATTTTTGTGCCAGCTATTTGATTGATGAAGAAAATCATATTTGACAACATTTATGCCCTTCAAACAAGGAAAGTAAATTCGTACGCTAGGCAGTGATTTTAATGTCCTGACATGTGGGCTGTGACTATTCACAATTTACCCTGTTCATGATTTTCACCTCATGGCGCAAGGAATGTGATTTTCCTAAGTAATTTTACATTTTTTGTTGACTAGTTTCAACGTTGGACTTAAATCAAGCAGAAGGATCCATAAAGTTGTTCCTGACCTCATACACGAGTAGATGAATGGGATAATGCTGTGCATCACAGAAGATGAGCTCAACACTTGCACACTCAAAAACATAGTGAAGATAATGCAGTCCCAATGATGGGAAGATATTGTGGATAATGCTATTATTATTATATTTTACGATATGGGGCATTGTCTGACCTAACTTTCCTAATGCAGTTCTGTCAATGGCTTCAACATTCATGCTAAGGTTCTTCATGCACAGGAAAAAAGAGATGCACAACTCATACACATGCATGAATATGCACTCAAGTAATTGTACCTCAACTGGACAAGAATAGGAAGTAAATACATTTATCAAAAAACTATACAACAACTGGGCTCACAGAACAAGAAAACAGGGCTAGGAAAACAGTTTCAAAGAGCTTCTCACTAGAGATGACCTAACAAAATACACATGGCAAGCAATAAGGGTGACGATGAGGATAATCCCACCTCTCCTTCCTCTATTTGGTTCCTCCATGAGAATCCCTAAAGATTTTGAGCGTGATGGCTACCTAAAACCCGAAGGGTGGCAAATAGAGGTAGTTTTGTGCTTCAAGTCTAATTAATCTTCTTTTCATACGCAAATATTTTGTGCTTCAAGTCTGACACAAAGAGATGAACAAAACTTTTGTCAATCCATGGAAATTCAAAATCATGAAAATTAACTCCAATTCTAATTCACCAACAAAGCACCGGATTTTGATACAAGTTGCAGAAAAGTGAATGAAATTTGAACAGAGTGAGCAAGTGTCCAACTGAAACAAAAATTGCATCATAAATGCATCCTTCTAAATTTTGAAGACACTTCTTCGGAGTTATGAAGCCTGAAAACATTGACATTAACAATTGTGGATGAATTTGCAATGGCATGGAAAAAATCCACTGAATAAAAAACTTACCTCCTTCAAGACTACTTGTCCTAACGTCCACAGAGACAGAACATGTACATTTCTTTTCATACTAAGTTACTGATCAAACCAGCAATGGCAGGGAGAGCAGTTGAAAGAAGAGATGAATTGAAGGTGAGAGAAGCGACAAGAGAATAATGCTGGTGAGACTGAGATGGGATAAGAAAAAATACAAGGCCTGAACAGAGATCTCTTGATATACATGTTCCCTTTCCCAGTACCAGCGTTCTTGTTATCAACCATTGCTTGGGTCTACCAGTCATGGGGACGTGAATGTTACGACCTCTTCTTCAAATTTTCCACAACCTATAATGCAAAACAAGTGATTGAGGTCTGACAGTTATAGACCAGCAAAACAATTAGGTAATAGATTCTCTAATGCTTCTGGAACATCATCAATGAGATTAAATATCACTTAGACCTGATCAATAAGGTTTTCTGTGCAATATTCCCCCATCTTGGGGGTTGTTTTACTGAATAGATGAAATGTGGGGTGAAATTAGCAAAATAAAAACATCTGGAAAGAGATGGACATTGCATGACAAAAAGATCAAAAGTTATCACCTATCCGTATCTATGGAGTCAGCCCCAATAGCATAGCAGTGCAGCCACAAATTAATTCCAAATAAGATGACACGCACATAACAATTCTTTGACTGAAACTGCCATATACAGAAACAACATTCAAGGATCATAAAGCATTTAAGCATCTTCAATTTGATTATAAAATGGGGATACTAGCTCTATGAAGTTATATAAAATTGCACCAAGTACCAAGTTCTGATAATTAGATAATGCAGTAAATTATTTGCAGCATAAAATCCTCTCTATCATATTGTTAACTATAACAAAGAACCTGCTAGAAGATGACAACGATCCATGATCCATTCCTTGCTATGAAGATCATAAGGAAAAGAGTTTCCTGATCAAGAAATACTTTATGAACTTTCTGATTTATCAACGATCCATGATCCATTCCTTTCTGTTTTATAAAAAATTAAAAATTAAAAAGTAAAAAGTAAAGTAAAGTAAAAAACAAAAAATTTTAGTGGGTTCAAAAATTAAAGTTCAAATCATATTAGGTAAGCCATTTACAATAGAATTTTAAAAGTTGGCCTGCCATTAAACAAATCAGTATTATATCTGACAGACTGATCCTACTTCATTGAAGAATCAAAATACAGGCATACTTCAATTGCCATACACAACTGTGCAAGGCAATCAAATTTAGAATGATTCAAAACAAAGAAGGTTACAATTACAAGACATGTGAATCCGGATTCCTTCTTAACAAACTTATCCTCTCTCTTTTCCAAATGAAAACTAAACGTTATGAGGAAACTGAACTTTTTGTTGCGACGTTATACAAAATGCATTTCATAAAGAAAAACATATAATAAGACAATGGTCCTAGTATTGACAAACAGCCACAATGTGGTATGCAATGCAACTCCTTCAAGTTGTACAACAGGAATATGCTTAATAAGAACACATAGTTGCAACATGATCAGATAATTTTGAACTTCAGAACGACTATCTTTGTCTCTTACCCAAAGAAAAAAGACTATTTCTGTCCATTAAATAGTTACGAAAAGAATTTTTATCATTAAAAGCAAGATCTGTCTATTTAATTTTGAACTTACTAAAATTGGAATAGACTGTAAAAGTATAACAGTAAGTTATTGTATACACATGAAGCTCTTGATCTACTGAACCATTTACGTGATTTTACGTAAAATTTATGCTCTAGATTCAATATATCAAAATTGATTATTCTTTTTGTTTGATCTTATGGAAAAGTTAACTAATGGAAACAAAGGACAGTGGAGTTACTTTCCAAGCCTTTCATCTTCTCTTACCAATTCTACATCCCGTCCAAGTGTGAAGTAACTTAGCCACCAATCAAGAAAATACCCATGCCACAAATATAGCAAACATTGAAAACCACCCCTATCAAACCACTTGTCAATGGATGAGGAGATGATTCACCATTTCTCCTACGTCTTAACCCACACTACACTATTGTGAAGAAATTCTCCCCCATAAAATTTCCTATATGCCACAGCCAACCATCAGAATTATGCAACCTTGAAGGGCATTTAGCGCTTCAAACTCCTTTGTAAGGGCAATGAAATATTTGCGGTACCCACCAAGACTTTATAGAACAGTTTAAACTCAAATGTTTCATTTCTAGTGGAGAGCCACTGAATCTCATCATTTCTACTTCTCACAAAGATCACTTTATGTCTCAAAGGACACACCACCTTATTCTTCTAATCAAAAACCAAGATCCTATGTCTGACATCCCTACCACCCCATCACTCTCTTGCCTATTATAATCTCATAATCTGCCATTGCAGCATTAATTTGTGCTACTATACCCTATTAAGAATGGGACAATGACTTCCAAACCAAACACCACGCCCAAAGTCTCTTCATCGTTTTCCTAATAAGGAAATTCACCCAACTTTCCTCATACCCTTCATACACTAACCCTTAGGAAGTAGTAGTCCAATCACTCAAATCTTCCCCTCTCACAAGCATATCCCAATAAGGTACTCACCTAACGGGCATGAACATGTAACACGATATGGACACAACACGACACATTGACCCAATAAATTTCAAAAAATGTAGGATATAACATGTAAGGGACACTCAAAAAATATATAGTTTTATGTATTTATTTATTTTATTTTTTTGATAACTTGGTATCGGCCTACTGGACCAACTAATTCGGGAGACCAATCGCACCATCCACTAGCGAGGAGCCCAATTAAAACCAGGGCAAAACCCCGTATGGATTGGCCCGAAGAAATTGTTTGCAACTAAAAGGTTTCGAACTTGAGACTTTGGAGTGAACACACCCCCAGGCCCCAAGTCTTGACCACCAGGCTAACCCAATTATTAAATGTCATGTGTATGACTTTTTAATTCACAGATAATAATAAATTTAACGTAAAACTAATTCAAAAGTCCAAATGAAGAATTGGTATAAATTTACTTATTTTTTCTTTTATCATTGAATTTAAAGTTGTTTTATTTAAACTTGTAATTGTTACACGGTCTTGGATAAAACTCAACCCCAAAAGCTAGCCCAAGAGGTGAGAGTGCCCTCACGCTTATAAGCTTAACATTACTTTAGTACTCGGGCAATGTGGGACTTCGTTCCACATTACTTTAGGAGTGGAGTGGTACAGGTTACTTGAAAATTCAAATTTATTGATACACCTAGGCACAAGGCAACCATAAACAAGTATCTAGAGACTACTATGCATGCACTCCACTAAACAATAATCATGCCATCTACATAGAATAAATGAGGCTTTGAGATAAATACCCCTTCTATTCTATCCACTATAAAATCCTCTTTAGACTATCCTCAATTCCATTCAACTAAAAACCTCAATTGCCAAAATAAGCATAAGACAAGAGAGAAGTCTCCCTAAAGTCGTGGATACGGGAAGAGAAAAACAAGAGAGAGTAATTCATTCTAGTGGATGATCAAAACATTCATATACAAGACTGTATTCACTCCTTCCATCTCTCCCAAAAGGTTGGCGATATTTCTAGTACATGTAATAGGATATCCCATTTGTGCAATTGGCAATATATTAAATAGCATATATACATGAGAATACCTATTCATGTATTGAACACTTCCTTGCCACATATGGTGTCATGTGGTATCATAGTAGCTAAGAAGAATGGACATGGACACGTGACTCAACAATTTTTCAAAAATTGTAGAACACGACACATAGGAGACCCTTGCACAATATATGATTCTATATATTTAAATATATCATATATAAAAAGAAATAATTATTATATGTCATATATATGAATATTTACTTCAATGATAATAATTTTTGAAGTCTAAAAAAAGAATAAAAAGTATACATTTACATTGTTTTTTTCTTTTTAAACATTGGATTTCAAGTTATTGTATTCAAACTTGTAATGTGTTTCACGTGTGTCTAAATGATAGACATGCCCCCAAGTGTCTAAAACATGTCCGAGTTCATAATTTTTTTTTAAAATAGTAAGGCATTTTGGACATTTGTCCAACAAATATTTGGAATTGTTCATCAAGCGTTGTGTCATGTCAATGTCCAACATGTGAGTATTATATTGGTTGGCCTTCTTTATGAAAGTTTTTACTTGCCTAAAAAGTTTCCAAAAGTTTACATATATCTATACAAGTATATGCTATATGTGGTCATCCATTTTATCAAAATGAGGTTGGAATGGGTAAACTAGAATTTGAAAAATATTACTTAACAAAATAATGAAACTGTCTTGCTTGTTTCCTCTATTAGGTTCTTCCTATCCTACTTCCGGGGACCAGTACAGTAGAGGACACTTTGGGCAGAAACCATTCTATGGGTGGGGTGGGGTGGGGGGTTCCATATCTCCTTTAGATACACAAAGCCCCCGTGCTCCTAATGTTGAGCTCGAACTATTGCTACTATGGAATTCGCGATCACACGAGTACTTTGCTTTCCAAAAAAGACGCCTTCGGTTCCCTTTACTCATAAAGGATCTGACAAACTCATTTGAAAAGTCGACTTGCTAAATCAGGTCATATAGAACACCAACACATAGAAAAAAGGGCTGAAGAAACTAGTCCATGCTCCTTATTGTAGTTAATATTCAACCATTAACCAACTTCTTTACTTTATTCGATTAGGATTTAAAAATAAATAAATAATAATAGTAATAATAAAGGAGGAGGAAAAAAGCACAACCTTTTCAATGTCCAAAAATGCCAAGTGGCTATTTTTAAAAAGGATTAGTTGCTATGAAAACCTCAACATTTTAGACTTTATCATGTGGATAGCATACTTTGATTTATAAAAAGTTTACATATATCTATACACATATATGCTATATGTGGTTATCCATTTTACCAAAATGAGGTTGGAATGGGTAAACTAGAATTTGAAAAATATTACTTAACAAAATAATGAAACTGTCTTGTTTGTTTCCTCTATTAGGTTCTTCCTAGCCTACTTCCGGGGACCAGTACAGTAGAGGACACTTTGGGCAGAAACCATTCTATGGGTGGGGTGGGGTGGGGTGGGGGGTTCCATATCTCCTTTAGATACACAAAGCCCCGTGCTCCTAATGTTGAGCTAGAACTATTGCTACTGTGGAATTCGCAATCACACAAGTACTTCACCTTCCAAAAAAGCGGCCTTCAATTCGCTTTACTCATAAAGGATCTAACAAACTCATTTGAAAAGTCGACTTGCTAAATCAGGTCATAAAGAACACCAACACATAGAAAAAGGGCTGAAGAAACCAGTCCATGCTCCTTATTGTAGTTAATGTTCAACCATTAACCAAACTTCTTTACTTCATTCGATTAGGATTTAAAAATAAATAATTAATAATAGTAATAATAAAGGAGGAGGAAAAAAGCACAACCTTTTCAATGTCCAAAAATGCCAAGTGGCTATTTTTAAAAAGGATTAGTTGCTATGAAAACCTCAACATTTTAGACTTTATCATGTGGATAGCATACTTTGATTTATATGAGAGCTCCTCAATTATTAGCGTTTGTAAATAAAGACATGTGCAACCAATGCATCATCAAACACGTCTACGATTCATTAATACATTGAAAATGAGCAAACTTATTATAACCTATGTGGTACTCGAACAACTTTCATATACTGTTGTGCATATATATTAACTTTCACACTCTTTAACGAAAGAGGGAACATTGTACCTTTTATGACTCAATCCCAATCTTGTTTCTTTCAATCACCCCTTATAGGCGACAAGCACCTAAAAGGATATGCCCAAAAAGGTGAAAATAGAGAACTGTCCGTTAGGGCCTACAAACTATTCAGCATGGTTATCAGAATCCCGATCCGGATCTTACGATCCTATGATCTTACAATCCATTTGAGTGCAATCGATCCGGATCGTGTAAAAAACTCCTTATAGGTAGGATCTTTCGATCCTGGTAGTGGGATCTTATAGGATCGTGGAATCCCGATCCGAATCCGATCCAATTTACAAGCCTTGTTTTGTATGTATAACATATTTTGTTGTAAATTTTATATTTGTTGTCTAAATATCAATTTATGTTGTCAAAATAAATAATAAAAATTAAGTAGTATTGAATCAAATAGACTAAGAAAAACAAACTAGGAAACAAACATTCAAATATTGCGGTAATTTAATAAAATTAAATAGTCGGAAAAACAAACTTAACTTTAGCGGAGTCTAAGAAGGGTAAGATGATTGTAACTTTATCCCAATTTCTGGAGAAATTATTTTTGTGACTCAAATCCGCTCCACCAGGGATGCTAATGACAAACCTTATCATTCGACTAAGCTACTCTTTTGAGTTCTTAATCTATTTTCATATCCAATTTTGTTAAATATTTTTTCTTCACTTTTTATGCATTATTGTACATTGTAAAGTATTTTGTTATAGAATTCTTCTTCTGCTTCACCTTCTTTTTTGATAAAATACAGAACTTTTACCATCGAGTTTTCTATTGCATAATATTATATGTACATTTTACATGGAGTATTATATTTTTCACAATATCTTCACTTCTTTTTAATAAAATATAGGTTCATTTTGTGTATACTTTATACGAAATATTTATTTAAATTAAATTATTATGTAATTTGTCTTTTTCAGTAGGATCTTACGATCCTCGATCCGATTCTACGATCCGATCTTATAAACACCTCCAACGATTCAACGTAGGATCCCGATTTTAACAACCTTGCTATTCAGTGTGCTTGGTTTGAGTTTTTTGAATTAAGTTTTTTGAAAATTAAGTTTTTTGGTTTTCGTGTTTTTTGTTTTTAGTGAATATTTTTAAAATTTTAAACATTTTTTTTTACTTTTTAGATGCACCTTACTTAGATGTATCTAAAAAGTAAAAAAATTGTGAAAAAATATTTTAGAAAATTAATAAATACATAAAAATACAAAAAATTTACTGAATTCTCGTATTTTTTTTGTATTTTGTGTATTTAGTGAATTTTTAAAAGGTTTTCTTCACAAATTTTTTACTTTTTAGATACATTTAAGTTAGGTATGTCTAAAAATTTTAAAAATTGCTCAAAATATTAAAAAAAATCAGTAAAAATAAAAAAAATACGAAAAATAATAAAGTAAAATTTTCTGAAAAGTGTTTTTTGAAAAGTGAAACCAAGCATATTTATTAGTGTTGCATAATTGCAATCTAAGTTGCGTGCATTTGGTTGAACTCTCATGGTCCTAATTCATTTTTTATATGAAGAAATCAGATTCTATTTAATAGGGGTACGTTTTTTCACACAGACCAGATTTTATCCCACACGGTGTTGTCCAATGGGACAATTAAAAACCCCACAAGGTGTGTGTCCATGGGTTATAGTTTAACATTGAGATTGTATGAGCATGGCTAGTTTAAATAAATGGTGTAAAGATGGTTAAAGTCCATCTACTGAAAGCTGAAACATCTTCAGTTCTACACACCAATAAACACTCATGTAACGCCCTAAAAAAAAAGACATTAAACCCATCAATTAAGAAGTCCATGCTCCTTATTGTAGTTAATGTTCAACCATTAACCAAACTTCTTTACTTTATTCGATTAGGATTTAAAAATAAATAATTAATAATAGTAATAATAAAGGAGGAGGAAAAAAGCACAACCTTTTCAATGTCCAAAAATGCCAAGTGGCTATTTTTAAAAAGGATTAGTTGCTATGAAAACCTCAACATTTTAGACTTTATCATGTGGATAGCATACTTTGATTTATATGAGAGCTCCTCAATTATTAGCGTTTGTAAATAAAGACATGTGCAACCAATGCATCATCAAACACGTCTACGATTCATTAATACATTGAAAATGAGCAAACTTATTATAACCTATGTGGTACTCGAACAACTTTCATATACTGTTGTGCATATATATTAACTTTCAAACTCTTTAACGAAAGATGGAACATTGTACCTTTTATGACTCAAACCCAGTCTTGTTTCTTTCAATCACCCCTTATAGGCAACAAGCACCTAAAAGGATATGCCCAAAGAGGTGAAAATAGAGAACTGTCCGTTAGGGCCTACAAACTATTAGTGTTGCATAATTGCAATCTAAGTTGCATGCATTTGGTTGAACTCTCATGGTCCTAATTCATTTTTTATATGAAGAAATCAGATTCTATTTAATAGGGGTATGTTTTTTCACACAGGCCAGCTTTTATCCCACACAGTGGTGTCCAATGGGCCAACTAAAAACCCTACAAGGTGTGTGTCCATGGGTAGTTTACATAAATGGTGTAAAGATGGTTATAGTCCATCCACTGAAAGCTAAAACATCTTCAGTTGTACACACCAATAACCACTCAACAAATTAGCTGTCTTTTGTTATAAATGGTAGAAGTGTATCAACCCATTTAATCCAAGTGTAACAAACTGAAGCATTGTCCAGGCAGCCCACAAAAACAAACAATTTTAATGATTGGAACATTCAAACCAAGGAACTGCTATGTTGAGTCAATCCAATTTTTCCAATCTCCAAGTCGCTATACCAGCACCAGTTTTCCATGGCTTCTAAACTTGAAATCCACTCAATAATTACAACTATTTGGGTGTCTGGGAATTAGCTTTTTTAGTGACTTTTTGGCCTTTTATAAAAAGATGTACAGAAAAAGTAGAGAGAATGATTTGACTTGTAGTGGCTTTTTGACTTTTTGGCTAAAAATCAATGTTCCCAAACAAGCCCGTGTTCGAGGTCAGTAAGTTAGAACCAAAGACAGCATTCTTGGTTCCAAGGAAACATGTAACCAAGCCACAGGAGTAATTACTACCAGACTCGACCACTGCCCTCAATGAAATGTTCCAACCAAATAGATATTGAAAGCAAATAAAGAACATTTCTAAAAATGTGTGTTTTTTTTTTTTTTTTGAGCGACAAAGGTTGATGCGACGGAGAGAAGACAAAATGAGAAGGTTTTTACTTGGCAGACAATAAAAAATTAACTTTGTTCACAGAAAACAACACAAACCCTGATACAAGCACAAAATAAGTTCTAAAACAAGAATCATATAAATATTATAACTCTCACATATTGAACTCATTGTGTGACTTACCATGTTTGATTCTTCATAAGCTCGGTCAATTACTTCACTGCCAAAGTAAATTCAGAATATTCTTCATGTCATACAGTTCTGCATCTCTGCTAAGGGACCATTTAGTAACACCATTCATTTCTGTCTTCTTTATCTCACATGATGCTAAGAAATTAGATTCCATACCTTCTAAAGTAAGACAATGCCAGATCTCTACTTTCTGAAGTTTTTTACATTTTGATAGGAAATTCTTCAGACTAACTTTTGAAATATGAACCATTTCTAATCTCAATAGTTTCAGTCCCTTTAGACTCTTGGCAATTTCAGGAGACAATTGTTGAGTTAAGACCAAGCCTAAAAATTCTAGGGCTTCTAGCTTCTTGCAGTTTATGCCTATCGCTTCAATGATACGAAAAATGTCATTATTGCATATAACTGGACCAATTGACATCTCCTCCATCCTGTTCCAGTAGCGGATTGCCCTTGACAATCCTTCATGTTTAATATTTCTCCCAAAAGGTAGGGAGAGTTCTCTGAGCTCTGGTGACCTACAATACGAACAATAAAATTTGTGCATAACTTACATGAATTATGAACAAAATTCTCTTGCACTGTTAAGATTTTTATGCTTTCTCTTGCAAATAGTCCAAGTCCTTCACTAGTTGCTCAAATCAAACCAGAAACATTTACTGAATAAATTAGCAAGGAGATTATTTCTCAATAAAATTAAGGGCACCGTGTTGTCTGAGAACTAATATAGAGGAAAGAAAATTCTAAAACTTTTTTCTTTTCAAAACGAAAAACGAAAAATAGAAAGTAATTTATCTATAATTTAAAAGTACAATTGTTTAATTGTCTCCAGGTAACAGTGGCTTACTATTCCACTACTCCTGCAAGTACCCCACCCAATTAAAAGTGTATTCCATTCCATGTATTTTACTTAGAGAGAAACAATATAAGCCAAATCAGTGAGAGCAATCAGAACACAAAAGGACAACATAAGTTGGCAGTTGGAAAGTACATATAATGTCTATCTGAATCATCAATTGCCAAAGAAAAATTATTTAGGAAAAGAATTATTATCCGCAAGATTCGTATGGTAGTATAAACGTTGCAATAAAATAAACAGGTCGAAGAAGGCATGTAGCATTATGAGCAAACCCTATTTGGTAAGCTAGTCATAGGTGTGACATGACTTCAATATCGTTTGAACTTAGAGAAAAGGCCAATTCTTATATTAAAAAAATCATTTTTTTTTTTTTGAGCTATCTTGAGGCTGTTTTTGCAACCTACTCTTAGATACGAAACCGAGGGAATTCTAAGACTTTAGAACATTAACTGCTTATTCTCCCACACATTAGAAAAGAATTATCTGTTTTAATCACCCACCCTGATACCTGCTTAATATTTCAGTCTAAGCTTAGTATCACATAGCTAACTGGATTTCTTTCCAACAAGCCTTGAGGCCCTTAACCTAGCATCCAAAACCCTTACAACCTTGTTGCATAAAAAAAAAAATAAAAATAAACTCTAGCATCTTTTTCCAAAATTTCCACTAAATAATCACAATCAAAATTTCCTTATTATACACAAAGATTAAAAAAAAATCTTCCATCTGTTTTCATTTTCAGAAGCCAAAACCAACAAGCTTTCAACAACCTTAACCCTCCACATAATGAATTATATATGCTGCTCCGCATAATGAAAATATTATATTATTGGGTAGCACCCTGCCACATCACAAACAAATACACATCAAAGTAACCAAATAAACACCAGGAAATATAACACACATGCATATAAGGAACAAGTAAAAAATCTGTACCAGAGCAATAAAAATTATAGAATTGCTCCGAAAGATGAAAACCCCATTCTTTCCACTGCCACTCAGTAACTACCAAATTATTCTCTATCATTTTGACATCCCAAACAATTCCCATTTTTTTCAATTTTCTCAATTGTTGGTTTTCTCTCAAACAAATATATTAATTGTCCTTCAAACTACACCCAATACTTTCTCAAAGAAGTTATCAAATAAATTTTATGTTGCAAAATTGTTTACTCCATGCCTTGTAGTTCGATAGATAGCTGCCATATCTATGAAACACAGACAGACAAACTACCAAATAGATGAATACATACATCACATACAAACTACTACGGAATTGGGATGGCTGCTATGTGGGAGGCACCTGTAGCCACTGTTGCATTTGTATTCAATTTTATACTTTAAATCACATTTACCATTATTTTATTTTTTTTTAGATACAAATGTAATTCGATGAAAGAGCTATCGATACCTGATCAAATTGATTTTTTGCAAGTATTTCTTCTCAATGTACCCTAACCCCAAAATGGGCCTATCGGGCACACTCGAATTCTCATACCTTTCAAAGTTTTATAAGTCATTATCCAAATTCAGAATTTCCAAAAATTACAGCTTTTAGACAAATTTGGACAACCTGATCTTTTTAAAAAAAAAAAAAAAACAAAAGCTAACTTAAACGAATTTCAACCGTATTTCCACAAAATTCAGATTTAAGACCAAATCTTTAGTTTCAATAACATTTTTATGCCGTTGGCATCAACTCAGCATTTAAATGGGGTTTTAGTTTAAGTTTCTGATATTGGGATTTTATAAGATGAAGTACCTACAACATTTTCTTACAAATTGGGGTCACTCAGCATTTACACAACAAAATTCAACACAAAAATTTCAATTTTCAGAGAAATTTCTCCGGTTTCACATAGAAATTTGATCAGGGACCTCTTCTACTACCTAAAGTTAGAGAAGAACGTTTCATTAATTTTCCCTATTTAAAATTTCACTAAATTGACACCAAAAAAATTGGGAAATTCTGAATTTCGAGAAATTGATGTACCTTTCCGCAAGGTAAAGAAGGTGATGATCAGTCAATTGAAGAGGCCCAGAAGGAAACACCATTCTGGTAATCGAAGTAACCCTAATACCATCTTCATCATCATCATCATCATCATCATCATCATCATCATCGTCACGTCTATACACATCCATGACACCACGAAGAAATTTCATCAGAAACGCCTTCTTGAAATGGGTAACTTTGGATCCAACCAGCCTCCGACAGCAATCGCAGTTGAGAATGGTAAAATGGAGGGTGTTGTCACCATCTTCGCCGGACAAATGATCGAAACACACGCGTCCCGAAGATCGACAAACCAAAGAAACGGTGGATATCAAGAACAAGGGTTTGAAAAGAGAGATTCCCATTTGGAAGAAGAACCCATCTCAGCATTGTTATTGTCGTTGTTAGCATCTCTTTTCCATTGGATTCTCTCGCTTTGACTGACCCCAAATCACATGATTTGATTTAAAAAAATATTTAAGACCCCTGCATCTTTACGAATGAATTTAAAATTCTAATTTACGAGTATCTAACGTTACTCTTTTATTAATGAGAAAAAATTCTAATTTACGAGTATCTAACGTTACTCTTTTATTAATGAGAAAAACTTGCACATCAAATGTTCCCAAATTCAATACCCAAATATGACCAACGAACATTACTCCATTTGATTTGGCCACGTTAACCAGAAAAAATAAAATAAAAAATAGGACCATAGAAAAACAAAAAATGGTGGCTACAATATCACACAACACTCAAATCCATTTTTTTACAAATCATTTATACGATATTTTTGAGGATGTTATTTTATTCACCACAAACCTCTAATAACCCAGCACACAAAGATCCTATTTCACATAATTCACAATACCGAAAGTTGCCTCAAGCATATCATCTAGTTAAAAGAAAAGATATACAATCCAATATATAGCATTAAGATGGTGTCTTAAGAACAGGAATTATATTTCCTATGAATAAAAAAAGCATATAGAAAAACTATTGAATGTTCAACAGGCTGGGAGTGATACGTGCGGTGCCTCAGCTGTGATTCTGGAGTGGGTTGCTGTAGAAAAATTATTGTTGGATCATTCGGATCAACATATCTGCCAAATAAAAAATCAAAAAAAAAATCAGGAATTATGGAACCACAAAGGATAATCTTCAGCCATATCACTTGCCTTTTATGGTAAAGGAAATCAAATTGAGGATCGTCTGTAGGCCAGCTACTAGGGGTCAGAATTTGCTTAAGAAGGCTCTCTCAGATCTCTTTCTTGATTCTATAGGTAGTGGTGTATGGTCATTCTTAACTGGGCCGATTTGTTTGGTTAATTCCGTTAACAAACAATACCTCAAACCTGTTAACAGCTATGTGAAGACATACCCTTCACAACTAACTTCTTAGAGGACTGGCCCTTTACGACAAGGAAATTGAGGCAATAAATAGGTCTGTGATGCCATTAGATGTTCTAGGCCACCTTCAAGTTCTTAGGGGAGGTGTGAAGCAAAGTGATTAACTCACTAATAGGACCTAAAGTCACTTACGCGTGTCTCATCATTTCATCCACTGGAGTCTGTGCTGCTTGCAAAGGATCTGCACGCTGCTCCTCCCTAGAAGCATATTGTTGGTTATATTGCCTCACTAACTTGATCAAGTTGAAAAATAGAGGAACAAATGTTCCACAACTGTCACGACCCAAACCTGCCCCTATGGTTTAGCATCGTAACCGACCAGTAATTCGTGATTACCAAAGGCCTGCTTAATAGTAATGACATTAGTACAAAATAAGGGACTGGCGGAAGCCAATCAGTAAATAAAAGATGTCCAATGAGCTGTGAAAATCTGAATGCAAAAAGACCTTTATGGACAAAGCCACATTCATAACCAAAGCATATATATACATATCAGATATACATAACATCCAGGTTAGGGACCTAATCCCTTCACCATAACTGTACAATCAAAAGTCTTATTCAGTCAATATAAAACAGAGACAAAAAAGGTGAATCTAAAACACCCCAAAAACAGCCTTGGCTTGAGTAGACTTGAAACCTCGAAGTGAGGCACAATGGTTGGCTTGACAAAACATGAGATTAACTCGACGCTCTAGCTCTGGTCCAGTTCCTGGACACCTACATATAAATATAAACAGTGAGCTAAGCCTAGTGAATAACAACTGCGTAAAGAGGTTAAGAATGAATGTCCTTTCAGTAATTGAAACAGTCATTTGCATCAATAAATCAGTTATTCAATCAGTGACTAATAGTTCATATCATATCAGTCATTTAGAAACCATAGCAGTCATATGTGGTACATCCCATAGCCGAACAGTACAGTAGACAGTAGGTCTTAACAGACCGAACAGTCAGTTGATGGCCATCAAAACAATATGCAGTATCGGTTCCAAATATTGGAACTAACAGAGATCTCTGTGACAGTAGCAATAACAGTACAGTACAGTAACAGTAAGTTGCTATGGACGCCACAAGTACAGTTCATAAAATATGACAAACATTCATTCAGTAAACAGTGTCACTTCAGAAAGCAGTACAGTCGTTCGTTCAGAAAATAATTATAATTGAACATATCTTTACAACATTATTACTCACAGAGTACTGGGCTATAGGCAAGCTAATCAGCGTCCCCGGGTGCCAACCCTACAATTGCAGAACGAACATACACTAAATTACACACTTGGGATTAACATCTTAGCCCATATCTTAACTTAGTGTGGTTCTATAACATTATCCTCATTTAAGATGCCTTAAATATGGCCTGGGAATGCCTAGGATGGAATGAGGATGCAAAGATGTACTTTAAAATACTTTTCAAAATTTGCTGAAAACAAGGGTCTCGCTCGAGCGTGGCATTCTTCGCTCGAGCGAGCTTACCAAAATAGAGGGGTTGCTTGAGCGTAAACTCCTTCGCTCGAGCGGTCTGTAAAAACATGAAAAGTACTAGTTGCTAAAATTCTCCGCTCAATGCTCGTTTGATGCTCGCTCGAGCGTGAGACACAATCCTTCACTTGAGTGCAGGTCTCGTCGCTCAATCGTGCATCTGCGTCCACAAAAACCTGAGAGCTTGCAATCTATGCTCGAGCTAGATTCCGTCGCTCGAGCGGAATTCAAAAAACAAAGGTGCTCGCTCGAGCGTGGAATCCTTCACTCGAGCGAGAAAGCCAAAATCTGGGTTTTCCAGATTTGCCTCCAAAGCTCAAACCAAGAATTAAACTTACCAAAACTCAACCTTTTGGGCCCATTTTCCGGAAAACACTTAGAAACCAACAATATAACATGTTTTGAAGATCATTTTACAAAATCAAAACCCAAAGGTAAGCCAATTGAACACAAAATTAAATATAAACATGAAGAACAATACAAAATCATACATGCATGAGTCCTCATGAATTCTAGTGCCCCAAAGTATGATCAAATGCAAACTTGAACTCAAAAACATGGTGAATTCATAGACCACAACTAAAATATGAACATACATGTAAGAATTTCATGAAAACAACCTCGAAATTCTATGATATGGACATGCATGCATGAGTTCGCTCTCAAAACAACACTTTAAGCCAATTCTTGACCCAAATCACTAATTTCTCATAAACCATGCGTGTAACAACTCAAATTCATAATTAAGAGGGTGAATTTCCTACCTTAGGTCTTGAATTTCAAGTATGGAAGTCTAATTTTGCAAATCTCCTCCAATTCCTCTAATTCTCCAAGCTAAACCTTGTTGAACCAATTCTTCTCTCCTACTCTCCCTCTCTCTCTCTCTCGGTTTAGTCTTCAAAAGGATGAAGGATGACAAAATAAGGGAGAGTAATGTGTCAATAATTGAATAAATCCACTCAATGGCACACTTGTAAATATCTAGGTTCAATTAGTTTAACATTATTCAATCTAATTTAATCATTCTAAATCAAATCTTTATTAAACCTACCATAAAATCACATAAATCCTAATTAACATATAACACTAAACGATTTCTGAATCAGTCGCCGATAAGGCCTTTAATTCGCAATTCGAAATTAAAACATGAATAGATCATTCAACGACAAACAGATAGAAATGCCATTAAGCAACATGCCAATGAAATCAAGCTAGGATTTCATCTTAATCAATTACTTATCATGCTTAATCACAGTTTAACACTGATCAGAGGTGAGGGTTGTCACAACAACCCCTTTCCTTGAAAAGGATCTTAAAGGCATGAGTTGAGTACAGTGCCCTGTGCTGGTCATCTGGGATGACCTGGGATTGGTCAGAATAGGAATATGAGTTATAATCTTAAATGTATGAGGCAGAGTACAATGTGAGTGAACACGGAAAAACATTGTAGAGACTTGAAAAAATGAAACAAAAATAAAAAGTGTACTTACAGGCTCCACAAGTCTAGAAATATTGTTGCACAAGAATATTGGTTGGTTAAATTTTTCATCATGGATGTGAAGCGGAAAATAAAGCAAGTTACAGATCAGCATGAGGTGAATCTATGCTTCAATATAACACACCTAAAGATATCAAATCTGTACATAACCCAGCATAAAATAACATTAACAGAAGTTTTAATTTCCTCGCCATTGACTATACTTAACGAGTGTAATCCCAGTCATTTGGATCTAGTACTTTAATCCATCTTCTCTGTTCAACTTGCATAAACCCATATTCTTGCTTAAGGTTTAATGAAGTTGAGTCATTTCTAGAAGCCTCAACTTAAAACCTGCTTGACATCCTTCTTGTCCCGTAAAGTTGGATCAAGTCTAATAAACACTTACCCATCTCAACATTTTCATTTCAGTCTTTTTTTTAATATGTTATTCATTAAATGTCCAATACAATATACCATACAACAAATTATCCAATTGTTGGACAGTAATTCACTTTCCAGCACATTCAATAGCATGGATAAGACGAGAAGCATTGCCTTGGTCCAAGATACACTTGGGAGAAGAATGGATAATTATGATTTGGAAATCTCAACAAGTCTCTTTGTAATCCCTATGCCAAATAACAACAATGCTACATCCTCCTAATTTACCACCCCTAAACCATCCCTAATGATGTGGCATTGAGGTTAGACCCCACATGATTGAATGTTTGACAAATCAAAATTTAACACTTGTTAGACACATCATTAGGGGTGGTTTTAGGGGCGATAAATTAGATGTCTCAAGCATTTTTCGCCAACTAATTAATATAAGAATTCTAGAGGAGTTTGGTTCCATGTAAACCTCCATCAAGATAAATAGATTAAAATTAAGTTCTTCAGTTCCAATCCTAGAGCACTACAGTAGCAACTCATACTAGTAAAACTATCAAAGTGGTATCAGAGCTCTTTGCTTTGATATTAACATAGGAATCTGCAGATAAGCAATATTGTAAAAGAGCATGGCATCCTCTACAAGTGCTGGAAGTTCCAAGTACATTTCTTCCATTGATGGAGAAGATTATGAGCATTGGAAAGTCAAGATGTAAGATTCATTCAAAGCAGAAGGGTCATGGAATGTTGTTGAGAAAGGCTACACAAAACCAGAAAATGAGAGCCAACTTCCACGGCTGAACTGAAAAAATAGACAAATAGAAGAATGGATGCTAGTGCACCTGTCACGACCCAAACCCGCCCCTATAGGTTTAGTATGCCAGTAATTCGTAGATTACCAAAGGCCTCTTAAACATAAATCAATTTATTAGGGGCTAACGGAAGCAAAAAACAAACATACATTGTTCATTGAGCTATGCAGACTTATATGAGACATAAAATATTTAAAAATTTTATGTACATATATTATCACATCATTCCTAAGTCATCATATATACAAATGAAACTAAAGGGATCCATTCTAACTCGAGGCTTCTTGCATTTTCTAAACATATTCTTATGGATCTTTCCTACCACAAATTTCCAAATACATTCTTTGATTCCATTGTTGGCTGGCACTGGCATGGACAATTTACGATTCATTATTTCCGTACTCTTGCAAATTCTCTTGTTCCAAGAGGTTCTTTAAGAAATACACATTCATAACTTTGACGAAATTTATTTTCTTGTTTTCTATTACGTATTAACTCTTCTGAGTAGTATTAGAAGCGAACTTCTTATTATGTTGTCTAGGCTAGGATTCATAACCTAAATTCTGTTATGTATTTATATGGTCATATTATCATTCCATTCTAACTATTATTCATATACGAAATTACTATGTCTCTCTTCCCTTTATTATTATTATTTTAAAGTCCATATATTTGGCTTCACAGCTTAAATGGATTAAAAGGGCTCTTTTTTCAACGTTGACAATACGATCTTAGTAAATAAAATCGTTCTCCTTAAAATTTATCATTATAATTGTGAATAATTCTTCATTAAATGCTCTATCTTTCCACATTTGAAACACACTCCCGAAGTTCGATACCACTCCCTGTATAACACTTGTAACAAATCGAACATTTTGGGGGTAAACTTATATCTTGCTTAAAATTACTTAGTCTCTCATACTTTTGCTTAACAATTAACACTCCACTTCTTAGACATATTCTGCAATTTCTTCTTTGACTTGACACTTGACTTTTTCTTCTCTTGTCTTTTTCTGTCTAAATAGTCTGAAGTTTTACTACGCTTATACTTACTTTCTCAAATAAATGAGGTTCCCATTTCACATATTCTTTCATTACTAAATCTTTCTTTTCCAGATAGACTGATTTCTTACTTGGCTTCTTAATCAATTACTACTAAATTAATGATTTATTCTTTAACCAACTAATTTATGTTGATTGTTAGCTTATTAATCTTCACTGAGTCATAATTCTTGCTTAGAAATGTTTAGGAGGAGATGAGATGAAAATATGAACACATGATTCAAAAACTTTCTTAATTTGTCCAAATTTAAATTTAATTCATTTCCTTCATATCAAACCCAATTTCAAACTTATAAGTTCTAATATATGAATTAAGCTTCCAAAATATAATTCCAAAACTTAGGTTTAAGCATGATTTGTCTAAAAATATACAAACCCTTAAATAATTAAGAAAACTTGATCATTTTTAAACCATTTACATCAAAACTCCTTTAATATAAAAATTAGGCTCATTCTTCATGAACTCATATTTTTTCCAAAATTTAGTTCTTGTTATTTCAAAATATGAAATCAATTTTTAGAACTCTACGATGCATGTAAATATGGAATTCAATTTCATGAAAAATAACAAAAATCAAACTCAAATGATGATATTATGAGGTCAATTTCCATATTCATTAACCTTAAACATGTTCATGAATTAATTCTTTAATTTCTCCAAATTGCATGCATGTAAAAATGAGACTCAAATTCATGCAAGATATTCAAAATCAAATCCAAAATAATTAATTTCTAAGTTTATTTCCATAACCATGAACATGCATGTAACCCATTTCATGCTCAAAACCCAATTCCTTTCTAATTTCATGAATATAAGCCCAAACATAAAAATAATATGCTTAAATTGAATAAAATTCTTAAATTACATTACATGCATGGGTTTAGGATTAACATCCAACTATTTCTTCGTTTTGAAAACAAACCAAAAACTCCATTTATCTTCAAGATTAATTCTAGATTTCCATATATTTCTTCAATTAAACCCCAATTTCATATTTATGTGTTTAATCCATGTAGAGGAGACTATAATCTTTAGGAAAACATTTGTCTACAAAGAATTTGGAGATCAATTGACTTAAAACATACTTTCCATGAAATTTTCTTGAAACCCTATCTCAACTCAAAGTTTCTTCAAATCTTTATTTTTAATTCTTTCAAAATCCATCTTGAATCAATTTATGTCTAGATTATTTAAACAATACTAGAAAGAGGATGAAATTTCTTACCTATTGTGGGGACATAATTTTTGAATGACAACACGTGGCCGAGGTGACACCAAAGTGTCAGCCAAGGTGTCACATGTCCTGGTCATGACGCCGAGGTAATCTCGGCTAGGCCGAGGTTATCTGCGAAGATACCGGAATCCGGGATAAGCAGATAAGGGACTAGAGTCCTAAAATGAGAGAGGACTTCAGCTTGGATAAAGATAACACTCTTAGAGAGTTTATCCTATCTACCTAGGAGTCCAGGATAAGCAATGAAACAGAGTCCATTGAAGCTAGGCTTCTATTGGGATTAGGTCAGTGTTGGCTATAAAAGAGAGGCACCCCCATGGGTCTAAGGTACGCTTTTTATATTCTGAATAGTGAGTTAAGCACTTTTGCTATCTTTGAGAGATAACTAACTTGATCGTCGGAGTGCCCCCGGGTGGATAAACCACCGTCGGAATCTCTTCTTTTTGTGACAAGTCGTTCGGGCTTAATTTATTCTGCCAGTGTTCTCCAGCTGAGTACCAGTTAGGCAGTGTGGTCGGAAATTGACACACACAATTTGGCGCCTGTAGACAGCCCATTTTTGACCGTCCTCAAGATTGGACGTCACCATTAGAACACTCGGTGATTATCCATGTTTGTGTTCGTTTGGAGTTCCCGGAGGTCTCGGCTACGCGCCCTGCCTCAAGATCTCCGAACTCGACCGTTTTGTGTCTGGTTTTGCACCAAACACTTGTGTTTTGCCTTGGAGGGGCAGGGAATGCCTTGTAAGGCACCCCCACACATCACCGGCCATGGCTTGAGGCCACCGGCCAGTGATTTTATTCCATCGGCAATGTATATTGCCGATCGGCACTATTTGTTGCCGGTCAGCCATTTATTTTGCCAAAATGGCAATTTTGAATAGCCGATCACTGTTCATCTACTTTTAGTAGATATTTTAAGACAAGCTGTCTTGCTTTTGGCTCCCCTCCATACACGTGTATGGAGGGGATCTCTCTCTTGGAAGCTTGTCTTGTAAGCTTTACAAGACAATAAGCTTCTATAAGAGAAGTCTTGTCTCTTTGGCTTTAGGTTAGACACTTGAGAGACTTAGGATATTATTAGACAGCCATTTTTAGGGTTTTTGAGTTCTAGGGTTAGAACCATACACTTTCTATCTCTATTTCTCCTCTTATGTGTGTTTTATGCACTTGTGTCTTCATATGCACACAAAACCTAGTGTTTCACCTTCCTTTGGCTCTTGAGGGTTCTAAGGGACTGGTTTTGAAGTTTTGGTGTTGGATTCAAGCTAAGGAGGGCCATTGGAGTACCATTGTTGAAGAGGTCTTCAAGGGTAAGAATCTCACCCTTTATTCCCCATTTTTGCACCTTATTTCTACCTATCTTAGAACTATTTTTGTACTTAGATGTATAATACAAAAAAGTTCTATTTTTTAGCCCTCTTGATTGTTTATTAAGAGTGTTTTGTGATTTGAGGGTGTTTGACCCTCTTTTAGGCCTTGAAAGGCCTCATTTTGTGCTATTTTGTGCTAGTTTTGGGACTTTTGGTGTTTGGGCCTCTTCACCATTGAAATCTTGAGGATTTCAGTGGTGGAGATGTGCCTTGAAGTCTCCAAAAGGAGAGGGGCACCCCC